TTCAATTTTTCGGGGTGGGCTCTGAAGCAAATCGTAGCACAAGCCCAGGATTTGATATGAAGGGCTCCACCATCGGCTGCCGCCATGAGAACTAGTCATTCTATGGGGTTTAGGGTTTAGGGTTTAGGGTTTAGGGTTTAGGGTTTAGGGTTTAGGGTTTAGGGTTTAGGGTTTAGGGTTTAGTAAGGAATGAACCCGGAAACTACCCCAAACCCCAAACCCTAAACGCCCTAAACCCTGCAAAAACCCAAGGTCAAGCCCTCAAGCTTTGCGTGCTTAAGGAAGACGCGCTAGTCCTAGGTTGGAACCGAAGACACGTTGAAAATGACTCTTAGATGTGACCTTGTTGTTTAGACTTTAGGGTTTGAGGTTTCGGGTTCGGGCGTAATTTTGGGGCTTTGGGGTTTGAGGTTTCGGGTTTAGGGCCTGAGGTTTGGGATTTAGGGCCTGAGGTTTGGGATTTAGGGCTTGAGGTTTGGGGTTTAGGGTTTAGGGCGATTCATTGAAACGGCTCCAAGTATCGAGTCCATCGTCGTAAATGGGCTCCTTGAGTGCAAGGGTAACCCCCTAAACCCGAACCCTAAACCCTAAACCCTAAACCCTAAACCCGAAACCCTAAACTCTGCATGCTTGATGGTAGGCTTGAGCTTAGGAAGCCATGCGGATGACTTGGGAGATACCGCTGCTCTACGTAACTTCCAACGCGTCTACCTGGAGCTCCAAGCAAGCTGAGGAGTGCATGATTGGGGTTTAGGGTTTAGGGTTTAGGTTTGAGGGTTTGAGGGTTTAGGGTTTAGGGTTTAGGGTTCAGGGTTTTAGGGTTTGTTGCAATATGGCTCAGATGTTGTGAAGGTTGGGATGCAGAATAGGCTCGAAAGCTTCGTCAGGTGCAAAGAGCAGCTATGGCCCGATTGTGGAGAGCTCATCTACTGCTTTCTCCCACCCCAGGCGGTCTTAGGTGGTGAAGCCACCCAAACCTATTCCTTTTAGTTTTAGGGTTTGGGCCTAAAGTCAACTGTTTGCAATTGCCTTTCTGACCTGACCCCCAGAACAGCGAAACCCCAAATTCGGGGTACTATAATCCCTATTAAGGACTGTTCGTATAAGGGGGAACATCCTACGATTTGCTTAAGACCCCTGCAAAATTGAAAAAAAAAACGGCTTACTTACCAGGGAAATATAGGGCGTATCACCTTTCAATTTTTGGGGCGGGCTCTGAAGCAAATCGCAGCACAAGCCCAGGAGTTGATATGAAGGGCTCCACCATCGGCTGCCGCCATGAGAACTAGTGGTCATTCTATGGCAGAGCTACCAAATCACGTAAGGAATGAACCCGGAAACTACAGTACCCCAAACCCTAAACCCTAAACCCCAAGCCCTCAACGCCCTAAACCCTGCACGAACCGAAGGTGGACAGAAGGTATAAAAGCCGAAACCTTGAACCCCAAAGCTTCGCGTGCTTCAGGTAGGTTGGACCAAAAGACCTGTTGGAAAAGACTCTGTTTTTCGGGCTTAGGGCTTAGGGTTGGGGGTTTGGGGTTTGAGGTTTAGGGTTTCGGGTTTAGGGTTTCGGGGGTAGGGTTTAAGGCTTGGGGTTTGGGGTTGAGGGTTTAGGGTTTAGGGTTTAGGGTTTAGGGTTGAGGTTGGTTCATTGAAACAGCTCCAAGTATCGAGTCCATCGTCGGAAAAGTTGGCAGTGTTGGGATCCTGGAGTGCAAGGAACCCCGTAGACCCTAAACCCTAAACCCTAAACCCTAAACCCTAAACCCTAAACCCTAAACCCTAAACCCCAAACCCTAAACCCTAAACCCTAAACCTAAACCCTCAACCCTCAACCCTCAAACCTAACCCTTGTCCCTAAACTCTACATTTTTGATGGAAGGCTTGAGCTTAGTTGCTCCACGTAACTTCCAACGCCTCCTGGAGCTCCAAGCAAGCTGAGGAGTGCATGATGGGGGTTTAGGGTTTAGGGTTTAGGGTTTAGGGTTTAGGGTTTAGGGTTTAGGGTTTAGGGTTTAGGGTTTAGGGTTTAGGGTTCACGGAAGCCCCATCCAACCCATCATCTGGGGTTGACAAGTATATTCCCCTAAACCCTAAACCCTAAACCCTAAACCCTAAACGCTAGACCCTAAACCCTGAACCCTGAATCCTAAACCCTAAACCCTAAACCCTGCCTAAAACCTAAACCCTAAACCCTAAAGCCTAGGCCAACCATCTGGGCCCCTCACCGCTGTGAACTTCACTGCAGCTGCTAAGGGCAGCAAGGACCTGGCAAGTTGCGAAGAGTTGACGGTTGAGGCTTTAGGGTTCTGGGTTTAGGAGCTTAGGGTTCATGGTTTAGGGTTTAGGGTTTAGGGTTTAGGGTTTAGGGTTTAGGGTTTAGGAGCTTAGGGTTTATGGTTTAGGGCCCTAAACCTGAACCCTCAACCCTAAACCCTCAACCCTGGTTTGGGAGCCTGAGGCCACTGGATGTGTTCCCGAAGGGATATAGTACGGCCGAAACTGCCTGCCGCTCTGCTAACCCCCTTTTGACAGCACAAAGCCCTTGCGCAACCCTCAACCATCAACCCTCAACCCTAAGCCCTAAGCCCTAAGCCCTAAACCCTAAACCCTAAACCCTAAACCCTAGACGCCACTGAGTCCCCGACCAGGTCCACACCATGGTCCAGAGCGTGAATGCCAAAGATTGCTTCATTGTAGAAAGGTACAATACGGAAGTTGGGGAAATAAGAGTGCTTGATCCAAAGGGTGGCGCGTTGCATTCTGTGCCCAAAAGCCCAAAAGCCCTAAGCCCCCTCACAACCCTGAGTCCTAAACCCTGAATCCTAAACCCTAAACCCTAAACCCTAAACCCTAAACCCTAAACCCTAAACCCTAAACCCTAAACCCTAAACCCTAAACCCTAAACCCTAAACCCTAAACCCTAAACCCTAAACCCTACGCTGGGCTTGGGGGGAGGGAGGGATTTAGGGTTTGAGGGTTCGGGCTTTAGGGTTCCAGGGCCTCGGCCGAGAATGATGTTAGACACAACTTCGGCTTGTGCCGGCTCTTAGGGCTTTGAGTTTAGGGTTTAGGGTTTAGGGTTTAGGGTTTAGGGTTTAGGGTTTAGGGTTTAGGGTTTAGGGCTACTGGGGTTACAGTTGAGAGGTCAGGGCTGAGGGCAGAGGGTTCTGGGAATCTCAATCAAATGCCTGAACCCTTAACTAGAAACTCTTGACGCTTGCCGGGATGAGGGCTTTAGGGTTAAAGGTATTTTGTCCACCAGGATGCTACGGCTTTAAGGGGCTTAGGGTTTAGGTATTTAGGGTTTAGGGTTTAGGGTTTCGGGTATAGGGTGCTTCGGATATCAAGTTTAGGGCCTTCGGCTTCGGGCTCAGGAGTGTGGGTCCCCAAAGCCCTGCAACCCTAAACCCTAAACCCTAAACCCTAAACCCTAAACCCTAAACCCTAAACCCTAAACCCTAAACCCTAAACCCTAAACCCTAAACCCTAAACCCTAAACCCTAAACCCAACCTTAAACCCCCAAAAACCGCACAGCCCGACACCTAAACCCCTTCAACCAAGCACTCTGAGCATCAGGAGCAGACGCAGAATAACTCCTGAATCCGACAACCCCAAACCTCTTGAAGCGGCTTCGGGTTTAGGGTTTCGGGTTTAGGGTTTTGGGGTTTAAGGTTTAGGCTTTAGGGTTTAGGAACCCTAAACCCAAATCCCTGTAAACCCTCAAGCCCGAACCCCTATGACCAACACTCGGAAGCCGCAAAACCCCAAGTCAAAGGCAGCCTTGGACTTACCCTACAGCCCAAGTGGCCAGTTGTTGAAATGATGGTCGCTCATGGTCTAAATGCATGGGATCCGTATTGCAGGAGGCAACAAATGTCAATGTGAGGTGAAACCCTAAACCCAAAACCCTAAACACCCAAACCCTAAACCCTAAACCCTAAACCATAAGCTCTACACCCTAAACCTTAAACCCTGTGAAGGAGTACATCGCACGCTTTCGCTCGCGATACACGTGGGCAGGCGCCAAGACGATCTCAAGGCCCCGTCCCTAAGGCCCCTCGAAGCACAGGGCTGGGTCATGTTGCTGTGGGCTTCTCGGGTTTAGGGTTTAGGGTTTAGGGTTTAGGGTTTAGGGTTTAGGGTTTAGGGTTTAGGGTTTAGGGTTTAGGGTTTAGGGTTTAGGGCTTCGGGTTTCGGGTTTCGGGTTTCGGGTTCGGGGGTGTAGGGGTGTCGCTGCATAGGGTCTCGTGTTTCACGGACTTCCAGGGCGGAGGAAGGCAGAGTGGGGAAGGGGCTCCGTGGCTCAAGTTCTAGGGTTCAGGGTTTAGGGTTTAGGGCTGCTGTCAATTCGCTCGGGGTATCCCGTGTTGTCATTTCCAAAGCTGCGAAAGGGGCCGTCGCAAGAGTCTCCACCCTGAAGCCACTGTGATGGAGGGTGGTGTCTAGGGTTAGGCGTAGGGATTAGGGGGCTTAGTGTTCAGGGCCCTAAACCCTAAACCCGAAACCCTAAACCCTAAACCCCAAAGTGTTCAAAGCGTAAGACGAAGGAGTCAGGGCTTGTATGCGCCTGTCAGGCAAAGATGGGCTGTTAGCCTCATACTTTAGCCAGCGTGACCGCGAGCTTCTTCACTGTTGGTTTAGGGTTTAGGGTTTAGGGTTTAGGGTTTAGGGTTTAGGGTTTAGGGTTTAGGGTTTAGGGTTTAGGGTTTTGAGGTCCAGCTTGCAAGTTTTGCGGGTTTGGGGTTCAAGGCTCCAGCGGAATGGGTGCAGGGAATGCTGACAAGCTCTGAGACCCCAAGCCATCAACAACACTAAGCCCTACACGCCAAAACCCTACACCCTACACCCTAAACCCCAAACCCCAAACCCCAAACCCCAAACCCCAAACCCTAAACCCTAAACCCTAAACCCTAGACCCTAAACCCTAAACCCTAAACCCTCAACCCTACATGCCTCCGTCTCCTGAGCTGACGTCCCCGTTCGGCCCCGGAGCCGCTCACTTGTTTGTGATCGCCGATGCCACCGCCGCCTGTCGATCCGGGTCTCAGGAACCAGGGCTTAGGGTTTAGGGTTTAGGGTTTAGGGCTTAGGGTTTAGGGTTTAGGGTTTGGGGTTTGGGGTTTGGGGATTAGGGTTTGGGGTTTGGGGTTTAGGGTTTCAGGGTTCCAGGCTTTAGAGTCTAGGGCTTGGGGTCTCAGGGTTAAGGGCTGTAGTCTCTCTACTACCCACCCCACCAACCTATCTAAGTAGCCCCTAACCAACAGCAAGCCCCCCCAAAAAAGGCCTTACTAGTCACGGGCCATGTGTGTGTCATAGATGTTGACAAGTTCAGGGAGTCTACGGAGCCTCGGATCCCAGAAAGCACTAAACCCTAAACCCTAAACAAAAAACTCTAAACCCTAAACCCTAAACCCCTAAACCCCTAACCCCTAAAAACCCTGAGCCCTGAACCCCAAACCGGGTTTGGAGGTTGCGGGGTTGTGGGAAAATGCCACCGCGCCCTACCCTACGCCCTCATTTCGGGGCTCGAAAGTCGAGGGCTTGCAGGTTGCGGGGTTGAGGGTTTGAGGGGTTGATGATTTTCAGGGGTCCACGGGGTTTAGGGTTTAGGGGGGTGGAGGGTTAGGGTTTAAGCATTTAGGGTTTAGGGGTTGAGGGGTTTTAGGGTTTAGGGTTTAGGGGTTTCAGGGTTTAGGGGCTTAGGGTTTAGGGTTTTAGGGGTTTAGGGGTTTAGGGGTTTCAGGGTTTAGGGCGTCCGCGCCTCGGCCAAGGTCGCCATGATGAGCTGCTCGGCCACCATCAGCTGCTCCTGCTTTCGGGCGCTTGGCTGGGGGCCTTTTGTTTTCCTTTTTTTTTGGGGGGGGTCCAGGGCCTCAGAAACCCCTAAACCCTAAACCCGAAACTCTGAACCCTAAGCCCCCCCAAAGGCCCCTAGTCTCCACACCAACCCCCCCAAAACCCCTAAAGCCCCCTAAAGCCCCCTAAACTCCCTGAAGCCCCTAAACCCCAAAACCCTAAACCCTTAACTTAAATAGGGTTCTTAAGAAAGGGGGGGGGGTCAAGGCCTAGGAAACCTTCGGGAAGCTGCGGGGAGCCTTCGGGAGTAGTAGGGCGTATTAGGGAACCTTGACATACAGACCCCAAGCCCTAAACCCTAAACCCTAGACCCCCATGAACCCCCCTCACTTAAGAACCCCAAACCCCTAACCCACGTAAGAACCCAAGGATTTAGGGTTTCGGGGCCCGGAGCCCTGAACTCCTGAAGCACCACGGATTCAGGGCTACAGGGGGTTTAGGGTTTAGGGTTTGGGGTTTAGGGTTTAGGGTCAGAGGGGCTAGAGGGCGCCACAAAGCCCTAAAATCCACCCTCCAAGCGGAATCTCATCACTTTGGGGTTTAGGGTTCTAGGTTACCAAAATCGGGGACCCCTTATATAGCCCCCCAAATCGTAAGAGTCCCTTACAATAAGGAAAAAATGGGGGACCCCTTATATATATATATATGCATATATATGCATATATATGCATATATATGCATATATATATATATATACATACATATATATATATATATATACATATATACGCCGACCCCGCTGGAGCGGGGGAGGCGTTAATAATTAGTGAAGACCCATTCTCGGTCATTCAGTCATCGGTTTAGTCCCATCTTTTATGGCAGCGTCACCACCCTCGGTGTTTGGGGGGGCTGCATCCCCCCCCTCCTCCGCCCTCCCACCACCCCAGCCCGCCCCACAACCCACCCACCGCCAAAGTCTTGTGTTGCGGATCAGCGGCACGCGGTAGCCATTAAATCGGGCAACGCCACTCTGTGTGCCTGCCAGGGCGGAAACCCTTGCTTTAGCAACGGGAGGGGCATGCAGGGCCGGCGGAGGGTATCGTGGGACCTCCGCGGCCTCCCGGAACCCTTCCGGGACCGGGCCGGATACGGGCGGGGACGCACTTTCAAAAGCATTCCAAAGCAGGCCGCCCATACCGATGATTTTGAGCTTTTTCGACCTGAACAAGGGTGCTTTTGGGGTGGCCTGGCGAGCATCATGAGCATCAGCGGCGTCGCTATTTCGGGAAGAGGGGCTCCAAATCCCGCCTCGGCAGGGCCAGCGTTTTTGTGGGATTTTCATGCCCCTTGATAGGGGTGCCGATGGCCCCAAGGAGTAGTAGCGGGGGCCCAATGATGCTCATGATGCTGGGGGGGGGGGGGGGGGCTTACAGGGCGAGGAACTGAGCCAATGATGCTCGTGATGCCTCTAAAAGAAGAGGCTTGTGAGACTTCTTTCCGGCTCCATGCATACATACATACATACATACATACATACATACATACATACATACATACATACATACATACATATAGACCCCCCCTCCCCCCCAACTAGTACTAGTAGGACTCCCTTATAGTAAGGACACCAATAAGGTATCCCTACTTTTGGAACCCCCTCCCCCATACTTTTGGGGCATCCCTAAGCCTTACAGGGTTTAGGGTTTAGGGTTTAGGGTTTAGGGTTTCGGGTTTAGGGTTTCGGGTTTAGGGTTGAGGGTTCAGGGTTTAGGGTTTAGGGTTGAGGGTTTGGGATGTAAGATTTAGGGTGACCTCAATATCCCTGAAGGTGCGAGAGCCCTTCTGGCCTGACTGCCTGGGCCCAGCATTGCCGTGTGCCTGGGTTCCAAGGCTGAGGGCTTGAGGGTTTAAGATTTGTTCAGGGTTTAGGGTTTAGGGTTTAGGGTTTAGGGTTTTGGGCTTAAGGTTGGGGTTTAATGTTGGACCCTCTTTAGTGTTGCCCCCCCCGCCCCCCCCCCCCCCCCCCCCGCCCCCCAGAACAATAACAGTCGAAGCTGGTTTTCGCTCTGTTTGCACGGCCCCCACGGGTTTTTATCTGATTTCAGTAGGAAAGAGTAGGTGTTTAGGGTTACGGGTTTACCGGCATGCAGACTAACTAGAAGCAAGGGTCTTGTAACCGAAGTCAGAAGTTGTGTTCTGCTCACGCTCCAACTTAGCTTTGGGCCATCTCCAATATGCGTGCAATGGCTGGCTGCAATGACTGGCGTGGAATTTTGTAATCTTCAGAGCTACACGCCGGGTGGCCGCGACGGACATCGATCAACCATCTGACATCCTAAACCCCAAACCCTCCTGAAGCCCTGTGAAACCCCAAACCCTGAACCCTAAAACCCTCAACCCAAAAAAAAAAACCAAACTGACATGAACCCTAAACTCTAAACTACTCACCCCCAAAACCCCAAACCCTTAAACCCTGCAAAAGCCCGAGCCGTCCGAAGTGACAAAAGGTCTGCTTGGACCCTCCACCCTGATCTCTACAGGCCAAGAATACCCAAAACTGCACACCTAACAGCGGGTTCAGGGTTTAGGGTTTATAGGGCTTAGGGCTTAGGGTTTATAGGGCTTAGGGCTTAGGGCTTAGGGCTTAGGGCCTAGAGTTTACCCTGAACCCAAAACAATCCCACATCCTGAATAGAAACCAGCCAATTTCCAACTGACTGCCTCTCAGCCCTCAACCCGAAACCCTCACTGCTCTTGGAGAAGATGCTTTCGTCGCCCCTGACTCTAGACTGAGCCAGGGTTTAGGGTTTAGGGTTTAGGGTTTGGGGTTTGGGGTTTAGGGTTTAGGGTTTAGGCTTTAGGGTTTAGGGTCCCTTCTACTGCAGGTCAGCTGCGGCATGCCCGGCAGGTCAGGTGGTCGGATTTCGATCTCAGGCGTGTGGGCATCAGAAGTGGACTAGACCCCAGAGTAGCCTTTTTCAGGTTTAGGGTTTAGGGTTTAGGGTTTAGGGTTTGGGGTTTAGGGTTTAGGGTTTGGGGTTTCGGGTTTAGGGTTTGGGGTTTCGGGATAGTACCCTAGGATTATAAAAAAAGGTGCCCTTTTTGGTTTAACAAGGGAACCTAAACCCAAACAACAGGGGAACAAGGGCCTACTCTGGGTCAAAGAGTTGAAAGGCTTGCGGGATTTAAGGTTTTAGGGGCTTGCTTCGGGGTTAGGATTCATGGTGTAGGGTTTAGGGTTTAGGGTTTAGGGTTTAGGGTTTAGGGTTTAGGGTTTAGGGTTTAGGGTTTAGGGTTTAGGGTTTGGGGGGCTTGTAGTGTTTGGGGTTGGAGCCTAAGGTTTGAGACTGGGGATTAAGATTTCTAGGGCTTAGGGCTTTGCGGTTTCTAGGGTTTCGGGCTTGGCGCGCGCAAAGGCACCCCTAATGTAGCGGGTTTTAGGGTAGGCAAAGGTAGCCTGCCCTCCACTTGGGCAGGAGTTGCTTCTTTCTTCGTGTTTTTTTTCGCGGCGCTCAGGGTTCAGGGTTTAGGGATAAGGGCTAAAACCTCAACGAAACCCGAAACCCTTACCAAAAGTCCTTAAAGCCTTCAGGTCACCAAAGTCTAAGCCCAAACCCTAAACCCTAAACCCTAAACCCTAAACCCTAAACCCTAAACCCCTAACCCTGAACCCTACCAAGGGCCTGATGCCCAAGAGGTGTGGGGTTTTGGGTTTAGGGTTTAGGGTTTGGGGTTTAGGGTTTAGGGTTTAGGGTTTAGGCTTAGGGTTTAGGGTTTAGGGTTGAGGGTTTCGGGTTTAGGGTCTGCGGTTTAGGCTCGAAACTTCAGACCCTGGACCCTTAACTTAAGGCTTTAGGGCTTAGGGATACAACAAGCTTCAGCGTGTGCTGGTGCAAGTAACCCTATTCCAAGCATGCTATGTCTAAAGCAGTCCCTTTAGCTTTGAACAAAAGCACACAGTTCTAGAGGGCTGTTGAAACCCTAAACCCCATACCCCAACCCCTAAACCCTAAACCTAAACCCCAAACCCCAAACCCTAAACCGCTTGGAACTAGCAACTGGGCTCCCAGCTGCTAGATTGCCGGACTGTTGCCTTCCAAAGTTGGTGCGTCGAGGGGCGTTTAGTTTCAAAATGGGGATATGAGGTGAACCTGACCCTAAACCCTAAACCCTAGATCCTAGACCCTAGACCCGCGACCCTAGACCCGACTACCCATATTGAAGCTGGACTAGATTCGAGCGAGGTCCGGAACTTAAAGCCCTAATTCCGAAGAAGCCCTGAGCCTGAAACCCTGAAACCCTGAAACCCTGAAACCCCGAACGCCAGACCCTACAGTTTTAACCCGAAACCCGAAACCCAACACCCCAACCCAAGGCGGGGGGAGGAGGTTTGGGGTTCTGAGGAAATCCAGAGCCTACATGCTCCCCCCCGCCCCCCCCCGCCACTTCTCCTAACAGGGGGTGCCATCTCAACCCTAAACCTAAACCCTACACCCTAAACCCAAACCCATTTAGGGCTTAGGGTTTCGGGTTCCCTGGCGACCACGGCCCTGCCTTATTCTTGCCAGGCTCGTTCCCTGCGACAGATCCGGCGGTTTAGGGTTTAGGGTTTAAGGTTAAGGGTTTAGGGTTTCGGGGATTGGGGTTTAGGGTTTAGGGTTTAGGCTTTCAGGGTTTCGGGGTTTGCAGTCTGGGGTTCACGGGTTTAGGATTTAGGGCTAGTGTTTTGGTCCCGGGTTAAGGGCCAAAAGCACGGAAAGGCTTAGGGTCTAGGGTTGAGGGTTTAGGCTTTTCAGGGTCTTAGGGTTTCGGGTGTTTGGGTATCAGGGTTTACGGGTTTTAGCGTTCTAGGGTTTTAGGATTCTAGGGTTTTAGGGTTCAAGTAGGGCAAAGGCCGAACCCCCCTCCCCTCAAAAAGAGACCGGCCCTAAACCCTAACCCTAAACCACGAACGAAAAGGACTGCGAAAAACTCTGGGACCCTATGCCCTAAATCGGCGATCGCGCCCTAATCTGAGGCACCAAACCCCCAAAGGTTTAGGGCTTAAGGTTTAGGATTTCGGGTACGAGGAGCAATGGGAAATCCCTCGGTTCAGGTCAGCCTAACCTCGGAAACACCTGTGAGTGGCGGATTACTTCGCACCTGCTGTAGCCCTAAACCCTAAACCCTAAACCCTAAACCCTAAACCCTAAACCCTAAACCCTAAACGATTTGTGGACAGTATCCTACATGATCGCGGATCAACTCCTGATCCTCAGGGGCATCCAGGTCATGGTAAATCCTGCGATCCTTTAAACTGCTTCAGCTGCCGCTTTGGTCATGGTTTCCGTTGCCTTGCGAATGCGCGAACTTGCCAAGTTGCACCACTTGGGAGTTTATATGTATATATATATGTGGATATATTTGGTTATATGTATATATATATATTTATTTATTTATATATTGGGGTTCCATGATTTTCGTAAACCCCCACTTGCAGACCAGCACTAGACCAGTCCCTGGAGGTCGCTCCCTGAAACCCTCAACGCCATGAAACACACCCAAGCCCAAAACCGAAAACTTTAAACCCTAAACCCTAAAACCCTGCAGCCCTACACCCCTAAACCCTAAAACCCGAAACTCCTAAAGCCCTCAACCCTAAAGCCCCTCAATCCACACACCTTGACCGCGAGGCAACCTGAACTCCTAAACCTTCCACCCCCAAGCCCCAGACCCCGGAAGCCCTACCTCCTACACCCTACCTACACCCTAAACCCTGAACCTTAAATTCTAAACCCTAAACCCTAAACCTTAAACCCTACACCCACCAGCGCCCCTCTAATGCCCTCGCGGCTCATTATAACGAAAAATGCCTTCGGGCCCATGACGGTGGGCACGTGCTCCGACTGCAGCGTGAGCTCCTGTGGGCCGTCTTTGGGGTTTTCAAGGGTTTATAGGGTTTTAGGGCTTAGGGATGAATTATAGGGATTAGGGAAATATTAGGGCTTAGGGTTTAGGGAAAACTCGGTTGGCGCACAGCCGCCTCCGAAAAAAAATCGTACGTTCAGCTATCAAACACACAATGCACAAGACTCTAGTAACAGCTCTGTCACACAGCAACGAAGCGGACCGTGTTTAGAACTGCACATCGAGAGCCACGAGAGTGGCCATCGCTGAAGCATGGAGACGCCAGCACGGCCTGGAGCCACGAGCGTGGCCATCACTGAGAGTGGGCGACGCCGCCACGGAGTCGTTCTTGTCCTTGGAGAAGCCGGTAAGTTCCTACTTGATTGTGATTTCTGATTTCTGAAGCCCTGCAATGCCAATGGCCTCTTGAGAGTGCTGGCGCTGAAGCTCCGTCTCTCCTCGAAGACGTGGTCCATCAGCACCCCCCCCCCCCCCCCCCCCCCCCCCCCCCCAAACCTAAACCCTAAACCCTAAACCCTAAACCCTAAACCCTAAACCCTAAACCCTAAACCCTAAACCCCCCGTGTGGGACCACCTCGTGGTACGGCGCCGCGAGTGGCCGCCACCGTTCCGAGAGACCAAGTTTTGGCCTCAGGGTTTAGGGTTTAGGGTTTTAGGGTTTTAGGGTTTTAGGGTTTAGGGTTTAGGGTTTAGGGTTTAGGGTTTAGGGTTTTAGGGTTCAGGGTTCAGGGTTCAGGGTTCAGGGTTCAGGGTTCAGGGTTCAGGGTTTAGGCTGTTGACTCGTGGGGCTGCCTGTGATTAGAGCGAAAACTCGAAACGTGGCGTTGCCTGTAGCTTCTCCCCCCTTGAGCCCCTTATACCCCCGAACCCTCCCTATACCCAAACCCTAAACCCCAAACCCCAAACCCGAAACCCTAAAACCCGAAACCCAAAACCTTAAACCCGTAACCCTAAACCTCCTAAGCCCTGAAACCCCGAAACTCCACACCCCTGACCCTCCCAAAACCCTAATTAGACCCCAAACCATAAACCGGAAACCCTAAACCCGAAACCCGAAGCCCCAACCCCTGATCCCAAAACCCAGAACTAAACCCGAAACCCGAAACCCCAAAACCCAAACCCAGAACCCTAAACCCCAAACCTCCTAAGGCCTAAAACCCCTAAAACCCAGACCCCTAAACCGACCCTGAACCCTAAACCTCTTAAGCCCGAAGCCCCCAAACCCCCAACCCCTAAACCTCCTAAGCCCTCGAAACCCCCAAACCCCAAACCCAAAAATCCCAGAACCCAAAACCTCTAAACCCGAAACCTCCTAAGCCCTAAACCCTGAACCCCTAAACCCCAAACCCGAAACACTAAACCCCTAAGCCTCAACCCCCAACTCTAACCCCTAAACCCCTAAACCCCTGAACCCCTAAAAACCCGAAACCCCAAACCCTAATCCCCTAAACCCCTAAACCCCTAAACCCCGAAACCCCGAAACCCCGAAACCCCGAAGCCCCGAAACCCCGAAACCCCGAAACCCCGAAACCCCGAAACCCCGAAACCCCGAAACCCCGAAACCCTAAACCCCTAAACCCCTAAACCCCTAAACCCCTTAACCCCTTAACCCCTTAACCCCTTAACCCCTTAAACCCCAAACCCAAAACCCTAAACCCTAAACCTCCTACGCCTAAACCCCTAAACCCCTAAACCCCTAAACCCCTAAACCCCTAAACACCTAAACCCCTAAACCCCTGAACCCCTGAACCCCTGAACCCCTGAACCCCTGAACCCCTGAACCCCTAACCCTGAACCCCAAACCCTAATCCCCGAACCCCTAAACCCCAAACCCCTAAACCCTAAACCCTAAACCTCCTGCCCCTAAAACCCCCAAACCCCTAAACCCTAAACCCTACATAAACCCTGAACTCCCCAAACCCTAAACCCTAAACCCGTCAACCCAATGGCCGTCCTTTGAGGCGAAGCCCGTGCCCGAAAGGCCCAGCTTCTGCCTGGCTCAGGGTTTGAGGGCTTTTTCGGGTTTAGACGGTAGCGCTTGGGGTTTGGGGTTTAGGGTTTAGGGCTTGGGGTTTAGGGTCTAGGGTCGAGGGTTTATGGTTTAGGCTTTGGGGTTTAAGTCTTGGGGTTTGGGGCTTGGGGTTTAGGGTTTGGGGTCCAGGGCTTGAGGCATTCAGGCTTCAGGATTTACAGGAGTTAGGGGTGAAGTACGGGCTGGACGGGCAGAGGCATGAGAGCATCGCCTCACCAAGCGCTCCGCTGCGTCCATGGCATCCTGAAGCGAAGCTCTCCGGGGTTCAGGGTTTGGGGTTTGGGGTTTAGGGTTTAGAGTTTAGGGTTGAGGGTACCCAAAGTGGGCAGATAACCTAGAACAGCTTCAAGCCCCAAAGACCTAGACCCTGAGCCCTAAACCAGTAAGACCCCAATCCTGAATCCTAAAAACCCTCAACCCTAAACCCTAAACCCGACACCTAAAATTTAGAAATCAAGGGATCGGTTGAGGGTTGAGAGGTGTTCAGGGCTCTCTTCAGCCTTAAGCCCTGAACCCTGAAGCCCTGTGGGGCTCTGGGAGGGTTTAGGGTTGTGAACTTAGGGTTTAGGGTTTAGGGTTCAGGGTTTAGGGTTTGGGGTTTGGGGTTTGGGGTTTGGGGTTTGGGGTTTAAGGTTTGGGGTTTGGGGTTTGGGGTTCGGGGTTCGGGGTTTGGGCAGATCGCAGCCCATAAGCCGGCAGCTTCGGTGCTTGCGATCAGGGTTTAGGACCCTCAACCCTCAACCCTCAACCCTAAACCCTAAACCCTAAATTTTAAACCCTAAACCCTAAACCTTAAACCCTAAACCTTAAACCCTAAACCTTAAACCCTAAACCCTAAACCCTTGGGAACCACCGGAACCCCGCATCCCTTGACGACGTTAGCCGAGGGCGTCGCCGGATGGCCCATGATGATGGCTAAGCTGTAGCCGAGCTCCTGTTAAGTGGAAGTGTAGGGTTTAGGGTTTAGGAGGGTTTAGGTTAATCATACCAAGAACCCCATTGCTACTTTTTGCTTCAGAACCCAAAAAAAGAAACGCAACAATCCCTATATTGCCCTTACAAAGAAAACATCTTTACTGTTGCGGGGGCTCTTGAGCTTAGTAGCGTTAGGGCCTTAGGGGAGTTTAGGGTTCATTTTTAATTAGAGTCTTTCAAGGAATCTTCGAAGTTTAGGGTTGAGGGTTTAGGTTTAGGGTTTAGGGTTTAGGGTTTAGGGTTTAGGGTTTAGGGTTTAGGGTTTAGGGTTTAGGGTTTAGGGTTTGGGGTTTAGGGTTTGGGGTTTGGGGTTTAGGGTTTGTTTGGTTTGAGGCGAAACCGAAATCAACACGATGTGTTGGATTCCTTGAGAACCCAATGCGGGGCTCCTTGGTCTCCTGGCGGATCTTGACGTCAGCCCCTGGGCACAGGTTGCGTGTTGAGTGGTGTAGGGTTTAGGGTTTAGGGTTTAGGGTTGAGGGTTGAGGGTTGAGGGTTGAGGGTTTAGGGTTTAAGGGTTCAGGGCCGGCAAGGTTACAGTCCATCTGAACAGGCCGCATCCGAACCACCACTTGAGGCAGATCCTGAGACGTCAGGCTGGCGCTCGACCTTCGCATTTGTTGGCCGAAAAAGCTAGAAGCCTTACATACTCGACTGTATTCACCCTGAAGGTATACCCAAGAACGAAGTACGTCGGGGTGCAGGTTATGGGGAATATGCATCCCTTTAACCCTACACGTTAAACCTTTTGAGCTTTTGAGCGGTGGGACCGGCCGAGGCCCTCTGCATCGAGAGGAACATGAAGGGCAATGGGTCCTCCTGGAGTATTTGTTGTCGCGTTCCTCCTAGACCACCCTACACCCTGAACCCTAAAGCCTAGACCCCAAACCCTAAACCCTAAACCCTTAAATTGCACATAAGATTCAGGTGCTTCATGTCACAACACCTGCTGTACTCACCCGTCACACTCGGCGCACTTCATCACAGAGAATTGGAGCTTTTGGGTCTGGGCTTTTGATGTGAAAGTAAAAACGCAAACGCAAACATTGCTTCTAGAAGACCTAGCTGCGGAAAAATTGCTAACCTTAAAGCTTTACACGACGATAGCCGAAGCCCCGCCCCCTGGTTTAGGGTTTAGGGTGTAGGATTTAGGGTTTAGGGCTCAGGGTGTAGGGTTTAGGGTTTAGGGAAAGTCTTGGACTTCTGGGGACCCCCACCTGTGGTGTTGCAGATGCCCATGATGGTCTGCGGGCAGGGCTGCTCACCGGTTCGCACTCAGGATCTCATCTAATATAGGTTTTTCTTTTCATTTTGTTTTTTTTTTTTTGGGGGGGGGGGGGGGGTTATTATCGTATAGTCACAAAGGGACCATAAGGTAGTACTCATCCGCTCTCTTACTCGGAGGCTCATGGTACTTATTAACCAATGGTAACAGACTTATAACCCACTTATAAGCCCCCTTAAGTGCCCTAGTATGGTTATAAGTACAGTTCTAAGTACAATTAAAATTGGCTAATAACTACCATGAACCTCCAAGTAGGGTAGTTGCATGGTCCCTTGGTATGGGGGCGCCCTTCACAGGGGACCCCTTATTATATATCCCTTCTATACCCTATACAACCCAAGGGCCCCTACATGAGAACCCTTTGAAGAGGGTAAAGGACCATATTAAGGGACCATGAAACTACCCTCAGATTGTCAGGGCTTACGGGGATTCAGGGGGACAGGGTGTTAGCAGAATCAAGGGTTTTAGAAGTTGTTGCTTAATGGCTCTTAGATGAAACAATGAACTTATAGAAGAGACATCAGTTAGGGTTTTCCAAAACCAGGTCGTTAGAAGGCTGTAGAAAAACAGGCTTGAGGGCTCTCGCATGGTCAGCCATCGTAGTTGTGGGCACTAACCAGGGGCTTCGCGAAGGTTAAGGTTTAGGGTTTAGGGTTTAGGGTTTAGGGTTTAGGGTTTAGGGTTTAGGGTTTAGGGTTTAGGGTCTAGGGTCTAGGGTCTAGGGTCTAGGGTTTAGGTGTCTGGGTTTGGGTTTTAGGCTCAGGGCATAGCAGGTTTAGGGCGTTTCATCGTGTTGGCTGCATTGTCCACTAAGCAGGCTGGTGTTCCTGACTTTAGGCCACCACCAATGTTACATGAACATTCCGGAGCACATCGCGCTTGCTTGCTGATCCGGTGCAGCACAACAATTATCCAATACCATTCAAAGCCTAAACCCGGAACCCCTAACCCTAAACTTGGCCCTAAACCCGAAACCCTAAACCCTAAACCCTAAACCCTAAATCCTAAACCTAAGCCCCGGAAGCCTCAAGCACCTGAGCCGCCCGCGCCTCGCCACCCTTGCCTATAAGCCGCGCCACACACTGCTGCGGGACCATCACCTCTCGAGAGCGCGAATTTCCTGGATTTGGGGTTTGCCCTAAACCCTAAACCCCAAACCCCAAACCCTAAACCCCAAAACCCTAAACCCTAAACCCCAAACCCTAAACCCTAACGCCTAAACCCCAAAACCCTAAACCCCAAAACCCCACACCCTAAACCCTAACCCCTAGCCCCTAAACCGCACAAACCCTAAACCCGAAACCCCAAAACCCTGAACCCTAACCCCTAAACCCCATAAACCCATAAACCCTAAACCCCACAAGCCTGAACCCTAAACCCTAACCCCTAAACCCCAAAACCCTGAACCCTAAACCCTACATGGAGGTCCAGGGCTGGAGGCCTTGACTCCAGACCCCTGGACCTCTGGAAGCCCTAGACTACTATTTGGCTTAAGAACCCCGGAATTTTTTTACCTCCCTATATTACCCTTCTAAGGAAGATTTAATTATTCATGTTTATCTTAATTGTTTTTTTTTTTTTTGGGGGGGGGGGGGGGGGGGGGGTTCTTAAGCGATCCATAGTAAACTCCACACCCCATTACCAAGAGCACGAAGCGCAGCCTGAGTGTAGAGGACAGGGTCCATGGCTGCGTAGGGTTTAGGGTCTAGGGTCTAGGGTTTAGGGTTAGGGTTTAGGGTCTTTAGGGTCTTTAGGGTCTTTAGGGTCTTAAGGGTCTTAAGGGTCTTAAGGGTCTTAGGGTCTTAGGGGTCTTAGGGTCTTAGGGTCTTAGGGTCTTAGGGTCTTAAGGGTCTTAAGGGTCTTAGGGTCTTAGGGTCTTAGGGTCTTAGGGTCTTAGGGTCTTAAGGTCTTAGGGTCTTAAGGGTCTTAAGGGTCTTAGGGTCTTAGGGTCTTAAGGGTCTTAAGGGTCTTAAGGGTCTCAAGGGTCTTAAGGGTCTTAAGGGTCTTAAGGGTCTTAGGGTCTTAAGGGTCTTAGGGTCTTAGGGTCTTAGGGTCTTAGGGTCTTAGGGTCTTAGGTTTAGGGTTTAGGGTTTAGGGTTTAGGGTTTAGGGTTTAGGGTTTAGGGTTTAGGGTTTAGGGTTTAGGGTTTAGGGTTTAGGGTTTAGGGTTTAGGGTTTAGGGTTTGGCAAAGGATTCAGGGTTTAGGGCCTAGGGCTTGGGGAATTTTAAGGGTTGAGCTTAGAGGGATTCACTCTGTCCTGGGGAAATGTACAAAGCAGATTCCTTCACATGCCTGTACGGGCTGCCCCTAAATCCTAAAGCCTAAACTCGACCGTGTCGGTGGGGTCTCTTTCGTTGGGCCCTGTTACGGCCCCTGGTACTTGAGGTGCCCTAAACGGTATAACTCAATGGTCGAGTTTAAGGTTTAAGGTTTAGGGGCGAGGAGGGGCCCCGAGGTGCCAGCCGCAAGGCCGAGGATTCGGGCTAGAGCCCCTTGACAGAAAGGCGCCCGAACTGAACAGCGTCACCAGACCTAAGCGCCCCAAAACCTCAGCAACTACGTCGTCGGCCGCACCTCGCGGTGAGGAACACGCGGCCGCCTGGGCCAAAGGGCTGGGCATCGCTTGCTGAGCACAACACCAGCTCCGAGAAGGCTTGCTTGGAAGTTCATGGTACTTCTTAGCTCAACTAAAGCTGTACTGATAGCCCGATAATTAACCATGGTTGGGCACTTAAGGGCCTTCTAAGTGGGTTATAAGTACAGTTAAAATGTAGTTCTAATGGGTTCATAAGTACCATGAACCTCCAAGTGGGGTTTAACGTTGAAGGGTTTGGGCTTAGGGTTTACCAGCAACGCCTCCTAGACTGCCTGCCTCTACTGCCTGATGGGATTACTCTTGACCCTACTTCAGAGAGGGTGCAAGCCATATTCCCCAAGCCCTGGAGCCTCAAGCCCCACACCCCGGAGCCCTAAACCCTAAGGCCCTAAAGACCAGGAGCTTGCTTGATGGGGCAAGTGGTGGTTTTCTGGGTGCGAGGCTACCCTAAGCCCTGAGCCCGAAGCCCTAAGACCGAAGCCCTGAGCCCTAAGCCCTGAGCCCTAAGCCCTGAGCCCTAAGCCCTAAGACCGAAGCTCTGAGCCCTAAGGTTTGAGCCCTAAGCCCTAAGACCGAAGCCTTGAGCCCTAAGCCCTGAGCCCTAAGCCCTAAGACCGAAGCCCTGAGCCCTAAGCCCTGAGCCCTAAGCCCTGAGTCTAAGCCCTGAGCCTAACCCCTACTCCAACCATACCTGTGGCCCCCATGGGCTGCAAGATGAACATTCAAGGTGGAACCTAGCATGGTCATGGGCGTCACAGGTCAACTAAACCCCAAACCGTTCAGCCCTAAACCTTAAACCCTCAGCCCTAAACCCTGTAACCCTCTAAACCCTATAAACCCTGTAAACCCTATAAACCCTATAAACCTTATAAACCCTGTAAACCCTATGAGCCCTACAAGCCCTAAACCCTGAGCTAAACTGCCCGAAGCCCGAACAGCTTGGCCCAGGGATCCAGCAGGAGGGGACCGGCGACGTTCCCGGAGTTTTGCCCACCCTTGGCCGGTTTAGAGCTTAGGGGTTTAGCGGTTGAGGGGTTTAGGGGTTTAGGGGTTTGGGGGTTTAGGGTTTTAGGGGTTTAGGGGGTTTAGGGGTTTAGCAGTTGAGGGGTTTACGCAAAGGTTTTCGGTGCGGAATCTGGGAGGGAGGTTGGGGCCTGGGTTCAGGGATGAGGGTCCAGTCCCACGTAGCCCTACACCCTAAACCCTAAACCCTAAACCCTCTGAGGTTCAGAGTGTAGGACGCTGCACCGGAAGCCTTAAATGGCCACTCGAAATCGGGCTCCATTTAAGGGTACCCACACATTAAGGGCCGGAGACGAGCCTACGACCCCAAAGCTTTCGAGAACTGCCCAGATATGCCCAGACACTCTAAACCCTTTATTCCTAAACCCTAATCCCTAAATCCTAAGCCCTCAGGAGACCTTGAACTAGGCACTCTTGAGCTGTGGGGTCTAATGTAAATTTCCGGGTTCCGGGCTTAGGGTTTAGGGTTTTAGGGCTTTAGGGCTTTAGGGCTTTAGGGTTTTAGGGTTTTAGGGTTTTAGGGTTTCAGGGTTTTAGGGTTTTGGGGTTTCAGGGTTTTAGGGTTTTGGGGTTTTAGGGTTTTAGGGTTGTAGGGCTTTAGGTCTTTAGGGGTTTAGGGCTTTAGGGTTTTAGGGTTGTAGGGTTTTAGGGCTTTAGGGTTTTAGGGCTTTAGGGTTGTAGGGCTGTAGGTTTCTAGGGGTTTAGGGCTTTAGGGTTTTAGGGTTGTAGGGTTTTAGGGCTTTAGGGTTTTAGGGTTTTAGGGCTTTAGGGCTTTAGGGTTTTAGGGTTAGGGTCTAGGGTACCCGAACCCGAAGCTCGATTGGATACACCCACTATTCCTCGGAACCGGACGCCAAGGTACTGGAGGAGGGACTCTTATCAGGGACCTTGGGGGCTATTTAGGGGTAATTTGGGGGCTACTTTGGTATATAGGGACTATATCAAGTATATCTAGGGGCTATATAGGGGAATCTGATGAAGGGTCCCTTCTAACCCTAAACCCTAAACCCTAAACCCTAAACCCTAAACCCTAAACCCTAAACCCAAAACCCTAAACCCTAAGCCCTAAACCCTAAACCGTGGCTCTGTTAAGGAAGCCCGAAGCCGAGGCAGGGGCGAAGAGGTCCTGGAGCCAGTCCGGGACATTCTCTGGGGGCGCCTTCGTGGCCGGCCTCGGCCATTCTTTAGGGTTTAGGGTTTAGGGTTTAGGGTTTAGGGTTTAGGGTTTAGGGTTTAGGGTTTAGGGTTTAGGGTTTAGGGTTTAGGGTTTAGGGTTTAGGGTTTAGGGTTTAGGGTTTAGGGTTGAAGCCCTAGGAGCTCCTCAATAGCACGGAAACTGCCAAATTTCCTAAACTCCTAGAATCCTGAAACTCCTCAAGCCGGCCGAAACTCCTACCCTAAACCCTGAACCCTAAAGCCCCTAAAGCCCCAAAAGCCCCAAAAGCCCCTAAAGCCCCTAAAGCCCCTAAAGCCCCTGAAGTAAGCACAAAACCCGCAAAGCCCCTCAAACACCGGCAAGAAAAGGGGATCTCGGGTCTCTGGGTAAAGGCTTAGCGTGTATGGTTTTGGGGGGGGGGGGGGGGGGGATTTAGGGTTTAGGGTTTAGGGTTTAGGGTTTAGGGTTTAGGGCTTAGGGCTTAGGGCTTAGGGCTTAGGGCTTAGTTAGGGTCTCTGGAGTCGTTCTCAGAGGCCAGACAAAAATAAAGTCCAAAAGCTGCCAGCACCAAAACGGGAAGGGGTCCTAAAGTCACCAGCATGTAGGCCCCTAAACCCTAAACCCTAAACCCTAAACCCTTTTTAACCCGAAACCGCTCTTCTGGGTGGAGGCTAGGGAATCGAACATTCGGATTCGAAATCGTAATCCCCAGGCCCCACTGCAACTCAACCTCGCAGGGCAGGACCGAGCTGTAGGGTTAGGCTGTTGGCCTTTAGGGTTTAGGATTTAGGGTTTAGGGTTTAGGGTTTAGGGTTTAGGGTTTAGGGTTTAGGGTTTAGGGTTTAGGTAGGGCTTAGGGTGAACGAGGTGGTCTGGGTGAAAGGGGTCTAGGGTCAATTGGGTTTGGGGGGGCATTGGCTTTTTGGGCTTAGGGTTTATATATGTTTAGGGTTTAGGTTTTAGGGTTTAGGGTTTAGGGTTTCGGGTTTAGGGTTTAGGGTTTAGGGTTTAGGGATGTAGGGATGTAGGGTGGGAGGGCTCGACGCAATGGATTTGGCAATGGATGCATCCTTTGCTAGACCCAGGATTCGCCTGGGAATACAAAGGGTCCTTTTTTGGTTTAAAGGGGTTTGCTAAGGGAACCTCAACCCCTATAGAAAAAAGGGGACTACGGGCCTCCTTCGGGTCCTAGTTTGTGAATCTTTCGATCATTCTACCGATCTACGCAGCTGCTGAGCCCCCGCCCTTCGCTGCAAAAACCCTTAAAGCCCTAAATCCTAGCCCTATACTGCCCCCCAAAGCCACAAACCCAAACCTCTAAAATCCTAAAGCACCGGAATCATAAAACCACTGAACCCTAAGCTGCACGAAATTCAATTCTATTCCCCAAACCCTAAACCCCTACACCCTGCACCCTACACGCTAAACCTAAACCCTGAACCGCCAGCAGCACTCTTCCAGCGCTTCGTCGCCGCGTGCTCTGAGGACACAGCAGTTGCGGCGCCGGGCGGCCCTGTCTGAGTCGGCTTCAGGGTTTGGGGTGTAAGGCTTGGGCCAATTTTGCCAAGGTTTCGGGTAGGTTCAGAGCCTAGGTTTCAGGCTAAGGCAAAGTTTCGGGCTTGAGGCTGTCGGGCGTTTGACCTAAACCCCACACCCTACACCCTAAACTCTAAGTCCTAAACCCTAGACCCTGGACCCTGAATCCGAAACCCTAAACCCTAAACCCTAAACCCTAAACCCTAAACCACCCTCAACACCACACCCTGGACCCAACCCTGCAGCAGCTCCAAACGGGTCTTGGATTTCAGTCGTATTGCCCATCCCTGCTCTCCACAAACTACTGTTTTTGGTTTTAGGGTTTAGGGTTTAGGTTTTAGGGTTTAGGGTTAGACCCCTAACGTGGTCCCCAAATAGTAGGATTCCTTTGTAGTAAGGACCCCAAAAAGTACCCCCCCCCCCCCCAATTTCGGAAACCCCAATCTGCTTTAAGAACAGCAAGCAAGAATTGAAAGGAAACCTTGCTTATAAGGGCGAATATAGGGATGATCATCTTTGTGGCCCAAAAAACAACCCAAAACCCCAAACCCCAAACCTAAACCGCAAACCCTAAACCCCAAACCCTAGACTTGTTGGTGGTTATTAAGCAAATAGTGGCAAGTCCCAATCTTCAGCACCACATTTGTCATGGGCCCCCCATCCTCAAACCATGAACGCCCGAAACCCAAATTGTACCTCACTTGACATTCCCAAACCCCCTCAACTTAACCCTGAAGCCTAAAACCTAAGCAGATTGTCAACGCCCAAAGGCAATGCTGACCCTAAACCCTAAACCCTAAACACTAAATTCCGAGAACCCCGAAAACCGAGGCCTCGCCAGGAACTGGCGCCGGATTGGATTTCGGCCTCAGGATAGTCGGAGTTCGAGCGAAGGGTCCGAAAAATGCAGGGTTTCAAGTCTGGGGTTTAGGGTTTAGGGTTTAGGGTTTAGGGTTTAGGGTTTAGGGTTTAGGGTTTAGGGTTTAGGGTTTAGGGTTTAGGGTTTAGGGTTTAGGGTTTAGGGGTTAGGGTTTCATAATTTGGGTCCCTTGCTACATAGCCCTTACATGCGCTAGATATATAGCAAGGGCCCATACTGCGAATCCCCAAAAAGAACAAGGGTATGAGGCCCCATGGTTCCAACCTTCGAGAAAACCCTGAGCCCCAAGCCCTGCACTCTAAACCCTCAACATATCTTGTTGGGTACAAGCATTTCGGGGCTCCTTAAGCTTCTAAACCCTAAACCCTAAACCCTAAACCCTAAACCCTAAACCCTAAACCCTAAACCTGGGTTAGTTCAGGGTTTCGGGTACAAGGCTTTGGGGCTCAAAGTCTGGGTTTAGGGTCAGGGTCTGGTCAAAGCCCCAAAGCGGGGAAGGATGCAAGCTCTCGCACACCGCTCTTCACGCAGCACTGCCGTGGATAGCCCTAAACCTTAAACCCTAAACCCTAAACCCTAAACCCTAAACCTCTTCAACCTTGCACCTTCAGCGCCTCAAACCCAACAACCTTCAACCCCAGACCCAACTCTGCTTTCTACAATCCTAAACCCGAAAACCCTCAAAACCCTCAAAGAAACAGGAACCCTGGGAATGCAGCGGGACAAAAAGGTTCCGTTTAGAGCTCAGAGTCCAGGGTGCACCTGTATCCTACTTGAGAACGCCCCCAAGCCCGAAGCTAAAAGACCAGGATCCCTGGATTCTAACAACCTGCAGGCCCAAAAACGATGGGCGACAGGCGACATTACCCCAGAAGATGTGAAGCTTGGCTGAGCCCCAAACCCTACACCGTATCTGACTAAGCCCTAAACCCCAAACCCTCTAAACCCTAACCCTAAACCCCAAACCCCAAACCCTAAACCCCAAACCCTAAACCCTAAACCCCATGAGCCTCTAAACCCCAAACCCTAAACCCTGCGAGCACGCTCTCCGTGGCCAGGTAGATCTGGCCTGAGACGTTCCGCAAGCGTGCAGAGTGGAACGTCCGTAGAGCTCGTCGGCCAGGCTGGCTCAGCGACAGCGCATCGGCTTTGTCCACGAAGACCGCGCCAATTGCGCGCTCACGCAGATTAGCGACTCGCCGGCGTGCGCTCTCCAGATATGCTCTTCAGCCAAAAGGCTTGTGTGTGCAAATGGCCCCGCAAGTCTTGCCGAGCATTTCGTCGATAGCTTCTTGGCAACCCCTTGACTTCCTCCGCCCGCGCTCGGCCGGGACGGCCCTTCATCGAGTTCGTTCTTCGAGTTCAGGGGGGGGAAGGGGTTAAGGGGTTTAGGGGTCTTCGGGGTCTTTGGGGTGTGGAGGTTTTTGGGGGTTGAGCATTTAGGGGTCTTAGGGTTTAGGGTTTGGGGTTCAGGGTCAAGGGTTGGAGTTGTTTCGGGGTTTAGGTGTTTGAGGTTCAGGGGTCGAGCCACCACTGCCAGCGGCCCAGCTTCCTCCTCCACCACCTCCTCTTTGGGCGAGTTTTCACCACCGGACGCGGGCCGCCCCCAACCGTCAGCCCCAAACCCGAAACCCTAGACCCTGAACCCCAAATCCTAAGGGTTTAGGGGAGTGCACGTGCCTAAGGGTTTAGGGCCTAGGGCTAGGGTCTAGGGGTGTTTTTTTGATATTTTGGGCACTTCTGGGAGCTCCCTTGAAAAAACATCGGAGGGGAAGTCCTTTCTTGGAGACACTAGGCAAAGGCCCCCGGCGAGGAACTATGCCAAGAGAATAGGGTTTGGGGTTTGGGATGGTTTGGGGTTTGGGGTTTAGGGTTTATGTTCAACATCAAACCGAGGCACTTAAGCCCGAAACCCTAAACCCAACCCCGAACCCTAAAGCCTCAAACCCGAAACCTAAACCCCAAACCCGAAACCTAAACCCCAAACCCCAAACCCCAAAACCCAAAACCCTAAACCCTAAACCCCTAGCCCTAAACCCTGAACCCCTAGCCCTAAACCCTAAACCCTAAACCCCAAACCCTGAACCCTGAACCCTGAACCCTGAACTCGAAGGAGGTTGAGAGCTGCACGCCCTTGGCACGTCCAGAGGTGCCTTGCAAGCTCTGGGTCGGGCCGTCAGGGTTTGGGGTTTAGGGTTTAGGGTTTAGGGTTTATAAGGGTTTAGGGTTTAAGGTTTAGGGTTTAGGGTTTAGGGTTTAGGGTATAGGGTATAGGGTATAGGGTTTAGGGTTTAGGGTTTAGGGTTTAGGGTTTAGGGTTTAGTCCCTTTGATTGTTTCGCGCTTGGGGGCTTCCAGCTTTAGAGCCTAGGACTCGGGTCAAAGGTTGGGGTTTAGGGTTTAGGGTTCAGGGTTTAGGGTTTAGGGTTCAGGTTCAGGGTTTAGGGTTTAGGGTTTATGGTTCAGGGATTAGGGTTTAGGGTTTAGGGTTTAGGGTTTGGGGTTTAGGGTTTAGGGTTTAGGGTGTGGGGTTTGGGGTTTGGGGTTTAGTTCACCCTTATACTAACACTCCTTAATCGGGATGATAGTACCCCCTATTCTACTTATCAGGGGGAACATCCCAAGTTAAAGGGTTAAAAGGGTTTGGGTTTTAGGGTTGTAGGGTTTAAGGTTTGGGTGGGGTTTGGGCTTTTAGGGTTTCAGGGTTTCGGGTGTGGGGTTTGGCACTCAGACGCTCAGATACTCACGAGGGTCCCATAGCATATTATGATAGCATGATAAAATTATATAATTATCTAATGTTATGAGACATAATTTATAGTACGATATAATGATCCTATAATTAGTAGTATTGCATTCTGACATTCCGATCTTCTCATATTGTCATAGTGTCTGAGTGACCAAAAAACTGGGTCTGTGCCTGAGTGTCAACGCGACCACAATCATATTTCTGGCATGGTCGAAGGAGAAACATCAAAGCCCTAACCCTAACCCCAGCAAAGGGAACAGAACAAGGGGGCCCGAGGCCCGAGGAAAGCGGGTGAAAAAAAAGAGCAAACAAGAGAGTTAGGGCATAGGGTTTTGGGGTTTAGGGTGATGGCTTATGGGTTGTACGGTTTAGGGGTCCGGCCTTTGGCCGGTCTTGCTCTGGCGACCGCGGGAGCCAATCCTTATAGAATTTACGCGCTACTTTTCTTAAGGTTGAGTGCCCGGGTTGTACGGTGTTTTTAGGAGGCTCAGGTCCTTATATGGGACTATGAACCCGAAACACTAAACCCCGAACCCTAAACTATGGGTTCTGCTTAAGGTTGAGTGCTAGCGTCTGCCAAGGAGGTCAAGGCTTTAGGAAGCTGCCAGCTCGGGCTTCGGGGCTGCTAGGCACCACCTGAAACCAGAAACACTTCCGTCGGTCCACTAAACCCGAAACCCGAAACCCGAAACCCTAAACCCTAAACCCTAAACCCTAAACCCTAAACCCCTAAACCCCTAAACCCGAAACCCTGAACCCTGAACCCTAAACCCTAAACCTTCAACCCTAACGCTAAACCCTACTCCACAAAAATAGGGAAAATGGGGGGGGGGGGGGGGGGGGGCTGAGCCCGGAAAATCCGACATCCCAAGCGACCGCGCTAGATCCCACCTACAATTTGGGTTTCGGGCTTTAGGCTTTAGGCTTTAGGCTTTAGGCTTTAGGCTTTAGGCTTTAGGCTTTAGGCTTTAGGCTTTAGGCTTTAGGCTTTAGGCTTTAGGCTTTAGGGTTTAGGGTTTAGGGTTTAGGGTTTAGGGTTTAGGGTTTAGGGTTATGTGCTTGTTTGTTTTGATCCTAAACACTAAATTACACCCTGCGAAACCCTGAACCTTAGCCCTAAAACTCTAAACTCTAAACCCTGCTTGTTATTGTAGGGCGAGGTTCCCCTAGCCTGGGGCTTAGGGTGAATACAGTGTCCACACCCCTGTATTGCATAGGGATCATGAGGGGATGATGTGAGCAAAGACTGAGACTCCCGGTAGGAACAGCGATCATGCACAAGACTCCCCATCACTTGGTAGCCCAGAAACCATATTATCATAAGGGTACCCTTTTTTTGGGGTGGTTACCTTATCAGGGTTATGTTTTTGGGGTATGAACCCCCAGTAACCATACTATCATTAGGGTACCCTTTCTTGAGGGGTGGTTACCTTGTAAGGGTAGTCTTTTCTGGGGTGGTTACCTTGTAAGAGTACTCCTTTTTGGGGTGGGTTGCATTATACGGGAACCTTGAACCAAAAATCGCGAAAGGGTACCACTGGGCTGCCAAGATAAGGAAAAGGGTAGGTTTGGGGTTCTTGAAGCGTGAGCTTCGATCCAGTGATGCACTGATTTCAACCCTAAACCCTAGCCCTAAACCCTAAACCCTAAACCCCAAACCCTAAACCCTAAACCGTAAACCCTCACTGTCAGCTCCTCAACCCACAATCCTCGCCTGTCGCCGGTTTGTTCAACAAAGCCCTAAGCCTCCCGCATCCCTAAACTAAACCCTTGAATGAACGGCCAAAATAGTATGTTTAGGGTTCTACTGTTTGCTTAAGAACCCCAAAAATATGGAAGATTCTTCCTTGTAAAGGCAAATATAGGAATTATGATCTTTCATTTTTGGGGAGCTCTTAAGCAAAGAGTAAGTTTTTTAGTTTCGGGGCACCTTAAACCGTGAGCCCTACCTGGAGGTTCAGGGCGGCCAGACTCCTAACCCTGAGTCCTACCCGGGGGCAGAGACAGCCCTTAATCGGGATTCTAGTACCCTGAACCCTGAACCCTAAACCCTAAACCCTAAACCCTACTAGAATCCCTATGAAGGACATCCCAAGGAATATGTCAGGCACCTCAAAAAAGCATCAGAAGTGCATGCTGCTTCGAAGCCTGGTGCTCCCCACCCCCCACCCAAAGTTTAGGGTTCAAGGTTTAGGGTTTAGGGTTTAGGGTTTAGGGTTCAGGGTTCAGGGTTCAGGGTTTAGGGTTTAGGGTTTAGGGTTTAGGGTTTAGGGTTTAGGGTTTAGGGTTTAGGGTTTAGGGTTTAGGGTTTAGGGTTTAGGGTTTAGGGTTTAGGGTTTAGGGTTTAGGGTTTAGGGTTTAGGGTTTAGGGTTTCAGCCCGAAACCCTAAAAAGCCCTCATCTGGGTGCCGCGCTGGCGGCTCCGCGAGCTTGCTCTCCTCCGGTATCCGGTTGAGCGCTTGGGAGGGTTTGGGCATTGGGAGGGTTTGGGGTTTAGGGTTTAGGGTTTAGGGTTTGAGGGTTTGAGGGTTTGAGGGTTTGAGGGTTTGAGGGTTTGAGGGTTTGAGGGTTTGAGGGTTTGAGGGTTTGAGGGTTTGAGGGTTTGCGGGTTTGAGGGTTTGAGGGTTTGAGGGTTTGAGGGTTTGAGGGTTTGAGGGTTTGAGGGTTTGAGGGTTTGAGGGTTTGAGGGTTTGAGGGTTTGAGGGTTTGAGGGTTTGAGGGTTTAGGGTTTAAAGTGATATTATGCCCAAACCGTAAACCCTAAACCCATCATCCCCCACAACCCATCAGGCCAAAAAAATTAAATTCGAGGCCCCCTCAAGCCGAACAACGAAGCCAACACGAAACCCAAACACTTTGCAACTATATCCTGTAGACCCTGGGTTGTGGGGTTTTGGGGCTTCGCGCCTGGGGGTTTTGAGGTTTGGGGTTTAGGGTTTTGAGGTTTGGGGTTTTGAGCTTTGGGGTTTAGGGTTTGAGGTTTGGGGTTTCAAGGGTGTCGGGTCGGATCTTCGATCTCTCTAGAGCTCAACCTTACACCCACATCTATGGGGTTTAGGGCTTAGGGTTTTGTGTTTAGGGTTTAGCCCTAGCCCCAAAGCCTCGAACCTCTTGCCACGAAGCCGTGAACCCTTTTAGGGTTTAGGGTTTAGGGTTTGGGGTTTGGGGTTTAGGGTTTAGGGTTTAGGGTTACCCAAGACTTCGGGACTACTGTGGGTGAAGCACCTCTCAACTTCATCAGGGGCAAAATTTTGTGACACAACCATTGTGCTCGTTCTCAATGGCATTGATGTCAGTGGGGTTCGTGTTGACCTCGCGCTTGATGATTTCCTTCTTGACCGGTGCCTTGCCAGTAGCCGGACAGTAGTACCGCGGCGTGCATGGCCCCTAAACCCTAAACCCTAAACCCTAAACCCTAAACCCTAAACCCTAAGTGGGCAAAGTGAAGAAGGATGTCATTCACGAAGCGACTGCTGTTGGATGTCATCGCTCCGTCTTTGTAGCAAGCGTAGGTGTCAATGTACATGTTGAAGAGCTGAACCGTCATTTCGCCTTGCAAGTTCTCAATGGTCTGGGGGGGGGGGTGGGGGGTGGTGGTTAGGTCATCTTTTGAGCTACGAAAAGCGAGGCACCCTTTTCATGCCCAGGCTACTCTTTGGTCTAGGGTCAGTGGTTTCAGGGTTTCGGGTTCAGAGTCAATAGGGCTTATTCAGGGCTCAGGGTCTACGCGCAAAACAAGTGAATAAGGGCCTACTCACCCCAAACCCTTAAACCCTGAACCCTGAACCCTGAACCCTAAACCCTAAACCCCAAACCCTCAACCCTAAACCCTGAACCCAAGACTGCCTTCTTCCGCTTCCCCCCGCTGGAGCTGCGGCTGCGCGAAGCTCTTCCCCGGCCTGGGAAGGAAGTTCGTTCAGCTCAAGGCATGTTTGGGGTTTAGGGTTTAGGGCTAGGGTGAAGGGTTTAGGGTTTAGGGTTTAGGGTTTAGGGTTTAGGGTTTAGGGTTTAGGGTTTAGGGTTTAGGGTTCAGGGTTTGGAGTCTGGGGTTTGGGGGTTAAAGGGTTCGGGCTCTATTGTGCGGGGTTGAGGGTTAGGGCTTAGGGTTGGGGCCGAACAAAAGGGGTATAAGGAGGGACCACTAGAAGGGACCCTTGTTCTTATTCCCCAAAATAACCCCTAGAAAGACCTTATATAGTCCCTACATACCTAAGTAGCCCCTAAAGAACCTCAAAAGAACCCCTAATGTCCCTTGTAAGGGTCCTTTCTTTAGTCCCTTGAACGACCCTAAACCCCACTACAACCCTACAACTCTACAACTCTGCAGCCCTACAACCCTAAACTTGGTCCACAGCCCTAAACCCTAAACCCTAAACCCTGAACCCTAATTCCTAAACCCATCTAAGCCCTGAAAAGCCCCCGGCTTCGGCTTCGCTCCTTCTCCTTCTTCCCCTGGCAATGTTTTGAGGGTTTTGGGTCAGGGCTTTGGGACTTAGGGGGCGTGTGCGGTTTCGGAGTTAGGGCTGTTAGAGGCTTCGGGGCCTAGCTTCCGATGAAGAACTGGGGGGGGCTTAGGGCTTGGTGGGGCGGGGAAGGAGTCGACGCCTTTGGCCCATGGTTGAAACCCTAAGCCTTCAACTTCAAAACCCTGAGATCCTATAAGCCGCAAGTCCTAAAGGAGCCCCTAGAACCCGAACCCAGCAACTCCAAATAGCATGGGGGTTAGGGTCAGGTTCAGGGTTCAGGCTTCGGGGTTCGGGGTTCAGGGTTTGGGGTTCAGGGTTTAGGGCTCAGGGTTTAGGATTTGGACGGTGATGCGTCGGCGCTTTTCCAGGCCTCGGGCAAAGGCCCTAAAGTCCTCCCCCAACGGCCCTGGCCTTGAACGGCCTCAATCCTAAACCCCAGCCCTAAAACCACTTATGGAGCGAAACCTTGCAGCCCCAAGCGCCAAACAATCATGGAAAAAGAGGGTATGGGGGTTAGCCCTCCTCTGAATCACTCACTGAGTTTTGGGTTTAAGGTTGAGGGTTTAGGGAACCTCCTAAACCTTAACCCCCGCGTAAACCCCCCCAAAACCCTTAAAACCCTAAACCCTCAAAACCCCAAACAACAAACCCTAAACCTAAACCCTAAACCCTTAACCCTTAAAACCCTAAACCCTAAACCCTAATCCCCAAACAACAAACCCTAAACCCTCAAAACCCCAAGTCCTCGACACCCACATCAAGCCAAGGCCTTTTTTCTCTTTGCGTTGCTCGCAGAGCGACTGGCCTCGATCACTTGGAGGTTCAGGGTTTAGGGTTTAGGGTTTAGGGTTTAGGGTTTAGGGTTCAGGGTTGAGGGTTTAGGGCTACTTATTAACCAATTATCCCTGCACTTATAACCCACTTATGAGCCCGTCAAGTGCCCTAATATGGTTATAAGTACAGTTGTAAGTGCAGTTGTAATTGGTTTATCAGTACCATGAACCTCCAAGTGGGGGGGGGGGGGGGGCGGTAGCTGTGTGTCGAGCTATGTGTGTATATCTGTAAAGGGAGGGACAAAGTGACCGGATCCCAACAAACCTCAAACCCAAACCAGAAACTTCAAAGCCAAACCAGGTTTTTGCTTGTAAGGGCTAACAACAAGAGGTCACTAGGTGCGGGGGGCCGGGGGGGGGGGGGGGGGGGAGGAGGGGGGTGGGGGGCTCGGAAGGTCTTAAACCAACTCGACATCCTCACATGCTGGGGGTTTAGGGCTTAGGGCTTAGGGCTTAGGGTGTAGGGTGTCGGGTTTAGGGTTGAGGGGCACAGGTCCTTCAGCTGAAGCCAGGGGGTTTTCGGGCCCTGTGTACTGTACCAGAAAGCTGAGTCCACGACATCTCGGTCGCGCCGGCGGTCCTGGCAGGGCCCCCAGATCTTCAGATCTTCTCGGGGTTGAGGTTTTGGTTCGATTTACTACGTCTTGCTCACGAACTCCCCGAAAAAGGAACATCGTTCCTTATAAGGAAAATATAGGAACCTTTATCTTTTATTCGTTGGCGGCTCTTAAGCAGATAGTAGTTTCGGGTTGAAGCTCGGTGTCACCCCTTCACACGCAGAAGAGGAGCAGGGGCACCCTCAACCCACAAAATGAGCATCATGGTGAGCATGAGCAATCAGTGGGCGGCCCCCCAAGCCCTCAGCCCTAAGCCCTAAGCCCTAAGCCCTAAGCCCTAAGCCCTAAGCCCTAAGCCCTAAGCCCTACACCCTAAACGCTAAACGCTAAACGCTAAACCCTAAACCCTAAACTCTAAACCCTAAACCCTAAACCCTGCCGTGCTGCCCCCCCCCCCCCCCGTTTTTGAGGGCGCTGCATGGGGCCCTGGGCAGCACCAGCAAGAGCAGGAGCGAACCGCATGATAACCCTAAACCCTAAACCCTAAACCCGAAACCCTAAACCCTAAACCCTAAACCTGCAAAGCTAAGCCCTCCGTGCCCCTCCCCCCCAAACTCCGGGAGCTGTAACATGCAGTCAGTACGTGAGTTGGATGCAGATACTGAGAAGTCGACTGGTTCTTGGCTCTTGTTGAGGAACTTAGGAGTAGCCTGCAATGAACTACATAGAACTTCATAGCACCCTGATGATGGTAACTTCTCCAAATTCCTCAACACACGCTAGAGACTAGAGAACTGCATGTGCTGCGGGATGCCATGAAAGGTAGCTCTGGCGTGGGGTATAGGCTTTCGGGTCTTCGGTACGCCGAGCTGCTGCTTCGCTAACAACCATAGACCTCAAAACCTCTAAGACCCTAAACCCTGAAATCTTGAAACCCCAAAACCCTGCACCTTGCACCCTAAACCTCTAAACCCTAAACCGAAACCTAAAAACCACAAGCCCTAGACCCCTGAGACCCACAATCGGAGAAGCCCAAGAACCCCGAAAGCCTTGCAAGACTTCAAACCCTACGAGCCCTAACAGCCCTAACACACCCAAAAAACCCTAGAACCCTAAATGCCCCAAAATCCCTGAAGCCCTCAGAGTTGGAGATGCTCCCCCTTACGCTAACAGTCCTTAATATAGGGGGTAGAATAGGGGGTACTGTGATCCCTCTTAAGGACTGTTAGTATAAGGGGGAACATCCCAAACCTAAGCCCTAAGCCCCAACCCGCAATCCTGAACTTTGAGCTGGAATATCCCAACCCGAAAACACCAAACCCCCCACAAACGTGCCTTACCCCGATCGCGGTCCTGTGAGTAGGGGGGGCTTCTTGGCTTAAGCCAAGCCGGGGATTTAGGGTTTGTAGGGCTTAGGATTTAGGGTTTAGGGTTAGGGTTTAGGGTTTAGGGTTTAGGGTTTAGGGTTTAGGGTTTAGGGTTTAGGGTTTAGGGTTTAGGGTTTAGGGTTTAAGGTTAGGGTTTAGGGTTTAGGGTTTAGGGTTTAGGGTTTAGGGTTTAGGGTTTAGGGTTTAGGGTTTAGGGTTTAGGGGGGGGTTTTTTTTTAGGGTTTAGGGTTTAGCGGTTTTAGGGTTAGGGTTAGGGGTTTAGGGTTTAGGGTTTCGGGTTTAGGGTTTAGGGTTTAGGGTTTAGGGTTTAGGGTTTAGGGTTTAGGGTTTAGGGTTTAGGGTTTAGGGTTTAGGGTTTAGGGTTTAGGGTTAGGGCTTTCACGGACGGGATCAGTGTTCATGGAGTGCAGTGTCGGGTTTGGTTGAGGGGTTTGAGGCTTCAGGTGTCTTGGGGTCTAGGGCTGAAGGGGCTTGATTAAGGGGCACAAGTAAGGAGGGACCCCTAGAAGGGACCCTTAATCTTGTCCCCCTACATAACCCTTATATATAGTCCCTACAAACCTAAGAAGCCCCTAAATAACCCCCCCAAAGGGTCTTCCGGAAACCACCATCGGGTTTAGTTGTAAGCCAAAGCCCTGCTAAGCCCCCCAAGGCTCAAACCCACTGCCCTAAACTCGCGGCCCGCCCTCCCCCCTGGGTTTAAGGTTTAGGGTTTAGGGTTTCGGGTTTAGGGTTTCGGGTTTAGGGTTTAGGGTTTAGGGTTTGGGCTTCCTGCCCCCTCTCACCCCCCTCCCCCTCCCCCCCCGGAGTCCCGATCACGATCTTTATCTCGCCTCGGCGGAGCGGCAGCTTAGGTATAGGGTTTAGGGTTTAGAGTTTAGAGTTTAGGGTTTAGGGTGTAGGGTTTGGGGTTTAGGGTTCAGCGTTTAGGTTCAGGGTTTAGGGTTTAGGTTTAGGGCTTAGTTAGGGCTTAGGGCTTAGGGCTTAGGTCTTAGGGCTTAGGGTTTAGGGTTTAGGGTTTAAGGGTTTAAGGGTTTAAGGGTTTAAGGGTTTAAGGGTTTAAGGGTTTAAGGGTTTAAGGGTTTAGGGTCCCAGGCTTAGGGTTTAGGGTTTTTCTCAAGCCCAGGCATTCACAAGTCAAGCTCGCTTCTCTGGCATCGAACATCTACCCACCCGACCTTTGGATCCCATGAATTAAGAAAACCCTAAACCCTAAACCCTAAACCCTAAACCCTAAACCCCTAAACCCTAAACCCCTACATGAACTCTAAGCCCTACATGCAGGCACCCTGCAACCTCTCGGGCCTTAAATGAACCTTAGGCCTTGAACCCTAAACCCTAAACCCTCAACCCTCAACCCTAAACCCTAAACCCCGAGGCCTTGAACCTTAAACCTCCTACGGGAAGCAGGGCGGGGAGGCTTAGGGTTTAGGGTAGTGGATTGGGATGCTCCCCCTTATACTAACAGTCCTTAATAGTGATTATAGTACCCCCTATTATAATACTAAGGACTGTTAGTATAAGGGGAAACTGTTAGCATAAGGGGAACATCCCAAGTAGTGGATCACAAGCCCAAAGCCCTAAACCCGAAACCCCCCTCCCTTAAGGACCGTCAAAGCCAGGCCTTTGGAGTTTGGGGTTTTGGGCTTTGGGGCCCGGAGCTCTCCACCGCAAGCCCTAAACCCTAAAACAGCCAAAACCACAACACAAAACAACTCAAGCCCCTAAACCCTAAACCCTAAACCCTAAACCCTAAACCCTAAGCCCTAAGCCCTAAACCCTAAACCCTAAAACCACCCCCAAAAAAGTCTGAGGTCTGGGCTTCTTGTCTTCTTTCCTTACCAGATGAAGTTTTACTGGGGCTTAGGGCTCAGGGCTTAGGGTCTAGATATGGTTCGTATACCCTCATTGGAATTCTAGTCGTACGGGGGGGGGGCATTCTGGCCCCAATCTTAGGGTTTAGGGTTTAGGATTTAGGGTTTAGGGTTTAGCTAAGCAAACAACCCCGGAACGGCACACCGCTGCCCGCCAACAAGAGCGGACGACCGACCGCGAAGGGAGTCCCCTACACCCTTTAAGAGGGTTTAGGGTTTAGGGTTTCGGGTTTAGGGTTTATTCTGGGTTCCCCTACTACCCCCTCTATACTACCCCGCCTAGGTTCCCCCTATAATTAAGGCAACTTAGGGCTGCTTATAGAGGGGGGGTAGCAAGGGAACCATGATAAGAGGTAGAGTGAGGGACCCCTGAATCTTATTCCCCTTTAACCCTATATACCTAAGTAGCCTCGTCCCTTCTAAGGGTCCCTCCTTTCGCCCTTCGAACCCTAAACCCTCAAGCCCCAAACCCCTAAACCCAACAGGGCGGGGGCCGCGGGGGTTGTGTTTTTGTGTTTCAAATGCAACGTCCGTCTTCGGAGACCAAAGGGGCTGGTTCTTGAGGCGTAAAGGCTCTGTGGATCACCCGCGACCGTACAACTTGCAGATTACAAGGCCCCCGAACCGAGACCCAGGAGCAACCTGGGAATAAGCAGGGTGCCTTTTTGGGTTTAAAGGGGGTTATAAGGGAGCCTAAGCCATTAAAACAAAAAAACAAAAGAGAAGAAGGGCCTACTCTGGGTTCTAGTAACTGCTAGCTCTAACCACCTGATTGCGGGGTAGAAGCCCCCAAGGTTTAACTTGAGCCGATTTGTAGGTGGGGAATTGCGGCTTCGGGTTTAGGGTTTAGGGTTAAGGTTTAGGTTTAGGGTTTAGGGTCGATAAGACCCCCACCCCACCCCGCCCCCCCCCCCCCCCAAATAAGAAATCCAGTCCGCAATTTGCTCATTTGGGGGTCCCCCCCCCCCCCCCCGCTCCCAATTAAGAAAGTCATGTTTGGCCGAGTTCCCAGCCCTCACATCCGGATTTGATTTCGCAACTCTAAGGAATTGATGGGCTAGATTTCCGACATGTAAGAAGTGAGGGTGGGGGTGGGGGGGGGGGCTGGATTTCTTCTTTCGGCGGGGAAGGTGGGACCCACCCCAGCATTTTTTAGAAATTGAGGGGCTGGATTTCTGAAGTTATGAATTTGTGGGGGCTTGGACTCTTGAATTTAAGAAATTGAGGGGATGGATTTCCAAAAGTATGAAGTTGAGGGGCTGATTCTTATTTGGGAGAGAAATTCACAGGTTTCTCCGCCCACCTCTCATCTTAAAAACCCTAAACCCTACACCCTACACCCTAAACCCCGAACCCTAAACCCTAAACCCTGAACCCTAAACCCTAAACCCTAAACCCCGAACCCTAAACCCTAAACCCTAAACCCTAAACCCTAAACCCTAAACCCTGAACCCCGAACCCTAAACCCTAAACCTCGACTCTGGGAAGCCCGCTTCTCTTTCTTCTCGTCCTTCTTCGACTTCTCCTCCTAGGAGGCAGGACAGGTTCCAAAGCTGACCCTAAACCCTAAACCCTAAACCCTAAACCCTAAACCCTAAACCCTAAACCCCTAAACCCTAAACCCTAAACCCCCAAACCCTAAGCCCGAAACCCTAAACCCTAAACCCTAAACCTTAAGCCCTAAACCCAAAACCCTGAACCATGCCTACGCAAAGCAAACGACACGAACCCGCAAGGTGCCCGCAGGTTTAGGATTTAGGGGTTTTAAGGGGTTTGTAGGGGCTTCAGGATTTAGGATTTAGGGTTTAGGGCTTTGGTGGCTCTAGGGGCTCTTTAGGGGCTCTAGAGGGGCTCTATGGGGGCTCTAAAGGGGCTCTACAGGGCTCTATAGGGGCTCTATAGGAGCTCTATAGGGGCTCTACAGGGTTGTATAGGGACTTTAGGGGCTTTAGAGGCTCTATAGGGGCTCTATAGGGGCTCTTGGAGCTTTAGGGGCTCTGGGAGCTTTAGGGGCTCTGGGAGCTTTAGGGGCTCTAGGGGGCTCTATAGGGGCTGTATAGGGGCTTTAGGGCTCTATAGGGGCTGTATAGGGGCTCTATAGGGGCTCTATATGGGGCTCTAGGGGCTCTTGGAGCTTGGGGGGCTTTAGGGGCTCTGGGAGCTTTAGGGGCTCTAGGGGGCTTCTTGTTTTGTCCCATGCAGCTCCTTTTGAACTCAGCGCGCACGCCGGCTGCTCAGTTCTCTGAAGTAACGCGTCCCCTTCTCGGGGACAGGGGGGGGGGGGGCTGCTGTGATTCTATGGGGTTTAGGTTTAGGGTCTAGGGTTTAGGGTAGAGGGTTTAAGGGTCCTAAACCCTAAACCCTGAACCGTAAACCCTAAACCCTAAACCCCAAACCCTGCTATGTGTATAGGGGCCTAGTTAACTGGGTTTACGGCTTCGGGCATATTGTACTAAAACAAAAAGGGGATTCTAAGTGGATACCAAGGCAATTTCAACTAAACCCACCGTAGCCATAAACTCCAGTTTGCGACAAGTACCTGCACACGAAGGGAAGTCAGAAGTTTGGAATTCTGGCTTCGTAACCCTCCCCTCCCGCCCTGAACCCTGAACCCGGGACCCTAGACCCTACACCCTGAACCCTTAACCCTAAACCCTCCTGCACAAAATAAAAACCTAAGCCCTTCAGACGAGGCTAAGCCCGGGGTGTAACCCTAAACCTCCAAACCCTAAACCCTAAACCCTATTTCCTAAACCCTAATTCCTAAACCCTTGATTTGAGGAACCCGAATTAGCAACAAACCTCCATTAGGGGTTTAGGGGTGCAGGGGATAGGGTTGAGGGTTTAGTGGTTTAGGGTTTAGGGTTTTTAGGGTTTAGGGCTAAACCCTATGCCCTCTGAACGCCCTGCAGCGACGTAGCCCTTCAGAGAACTGGGCTCTCCAGAAAAGATCGCTCCTCCCCGCGAGCCCTCGGCCTTAACTTGTCCCACCCCGCTTGTTGCCGCAGGGTTTCAGGGTTTGCTTGCAGGTTCATGGATACCTTGTTTCCGTGGGGATTTCTGTACCATTTGCTTAATAAGAACCCCCCTCCCAAAAAAACGAAACGAGTTCTTACAAGCGCAGATGCTGTGAAAATTGGGACGAAGACTAGCTGCGAAAGCTTCGTGACATGCGAAGAGCAGCCGTGGCTGCTCGATTGCGGAGGGCCATCTGACACTTGTAACCCACTCCACGCCGTCTCAGGCGGCAAAACCACCCTAACCTGGTCCTTTTAGGGTTTAAGCCTAAGCTCAAGTCTATTGCCTACTTCCATAACATTCTTCCAGGCATGCATTGAGTTCCAGCGCATCGGGTCCCAAAAACGTCCAGGGAGGTCGCAGGTCATTTGGACCCCCAAGTACAAGTAGTAGGATGCCCCAAAATGAGGACCCCAATAAGGTACCACTAATCTCGTAGACGGCCATTTGCGCTGGGGCAGTTTCAGGGGGTTCCCAGCGGGAGGCGGGTGAACGACCTGGGCATCATGGGTTTCCCTACCACCCACCACTATACTACCCACTTAGGTTCTGCCCTTACCTGAAGTAGGCCTAATTATCGTCAATAACCTAAACCCTAAACCCTAAACCCTAAACCCTAAACCCTAAATCCTAAACCCTAAACCCTAAACCCTAAACCCTAAACCCTAAACCCTAAATGGGGGAACCTGGGGGGGTAGTATAGAATGGGTAGTCGAGGAGCGCCAACGAGGTTGAGGGGCTTAAGTGGGAAGGGGGGTTTAAGGGTTTAGGCGAGAAAGGGGGAGGGAATACCAGAGAGGGGGTGGGGCTGGAGAACGGGAACCGGGATCCCCCCCCTCCCTTTAAAGGGGGAGGGGGGGGGGGGGGGGGGGGGGTCGGAAGGGGTGCACATTGCGGCAAGTAGTAACTATTTGCTGAGATTGTTTATGCTTGGCCCGCGGTTCCTGTGACTATTCGGGCTGACAGATTTGTTGATGGGCTGAGATATATTACACTGGAGGCAAGGAGAACGTCTTGGCAAGTTGGTCACCGGTGCAGGAAATAGACTACAGATTTCTACTCTTCTGTGCGGTGGGGAGGGGGGGAAGAGTGCGGCCTGAAACATACCAAAGCAGTGGCACGCCCAAATGCAGGCTCCGCTGCCTCCCCTTCTGTATGTATGTATGTATGTATGTATGTATGTATGTATGTATGTATGTATGTACATACATACATACATACATACATACATACATACATACATACATACATACATACATACATACATACATACATACATATACATATAACATGTATACATTATATAGATATATATATATAATATATATGTACATACTACATATAACATCTACATTATATATACATTAACATATACATATACATATACATATACATACAATATAACATATACATATACATATACATATACAGGATACAGATACATATACATATACATATACATATACATATACATTACATGATATATATATACATATATATATATATATATGTAGATGTTATGTATTGTATGGTATATGTATATGTATATGTATATGTATATGTATATGTATATGTATATGTATATGTATATGTATATGTATATGTATATGTATATGTATATGTATATGTATATGTATATGTATATGTATGTGTATATATATATGTATGTACGTACATCTGTGTGTGATTCCTATGTATATACGGTTATGCCAAGATCTACATATCAGGCTTGAAATCGGGTTCTGGAGTGCAGGCCTGGGAGGGGATTGAGAGCCGCTGCGCAGGAGAGCATTTTTTGAAATGGCCGGGGGTTTAGAGTTTAGGGGTTTCGGGCTTGGGGTTTAGGGTTTAGGGTTTAGGGTTTAGGGTTTAGGGTTTCGGGTTTAAAGTTCAGGGTTTAGGGCTTAGGGTTTAGGGTTTAAGGTTTAAAGTTGCGGGCTCGCTTAGGGTTTCGGGCTTGGGGTTTAGGGTTTCTGGCTTGGGGTTTTGGGTTTCGTGTGAGGTCGAAGAGATTGCTGGGTTTTAGGGCTTGGGGTTTCGTGAGTCCGGGATTTCTCCCCCTGCCGTGGGGGCGGCCAGGACCCTGGAAACCAATGTGCGGTTCGGGGGTGGGGCTTAGGGGTTGAATGCAGACGATTTCGGGGTTCGGAGTTTCGAGCCCTAAACCCTAAACCCTAAACCCTAAACCCTAAACCCTAAACTTAGATCTCTGCGCAGGTCGAGGATGCAGTCTCAAAGCCCAGGGTCGGAGAAATCCCGCTTTGCTCAGCCAGCCGAGGCATCATTGTACCTGGATTCAGGCTTCTTCTTGTCAAATTTGGGGTTTAGGGTTTAGGGTTTAGGGTTTAGGGTTTAGGGCTTAGGGTTTAGGGTTTAGGGGGTTTGGGGGTTTGGGGGTTTGGGGGTTGGGGGATTAGGGTTTTAGGGTTTAGGGTTTCACGGTTTAGGGTCCCGAACCCCAGTAGTCCCTATTGGCAGAAAACGAAACAAACTCCCAGCATGCCCCCAAAACCCTTAACCCTCAACCCTCAACCCTCAACCCTAAACTCGTTGCCTTTCCCCCCTACACTCCCATCAGCCAACTGAAGAAACCTGTAATGCTGCGAAAGGGGGACGCTGAAAAAATGAGTCCCTGAAGCCTTAGACCCTTGACCCTAAACCCCAAACCCTACACCCTAAACCCTAAACACTAGCTCTGGTCGGGTCTGGCATTCGTGGTTTAAGGGGCTAAGAAACCCTAAACATCTAAGGCTCTCAGCGGACGGCATGCTTGTAGGCTCTTGTGGCTTTAGGGCCTTGCGGCGAATTTCTCCTCTCACCCATCCTAAGTCCTAAACCCTAAACCCTAAACCCCAAACCCTAAACCTCCCAGGTACGCAAGAACGGCAGGCGCACGCAGACATGTCGATCTCCCGCGCGGGCGCCGAGGGCCCCGACCTGTTGATTGCGAGGGGCGACGGGAGGTAGGCTTAGGGTTTAGGGTTTAGGGTTTAGGGTTTAGGGTTTAGGGTTTAGGGTTTAGGGTTTAGGGTTTAGGGTTTAGGGTTTAGGGTTTAGGGTTTAGGGTTTAGCGTTTAGGGTTTAGGGTTTAGGGTTTAGGGTTTAGGGTAAGCCCTAAACCCAAAGCCCTAAACCCCAAAGTGGGGGTTCGGGATAGGAACCGTTACATCAGGGACCCTGGGGGCTAAAAAGGATTTATGTTGGGTTATAATACGGAGCCGTATACATATAAGTACGAAAACATATTATGATACATTTATATATATACACATACATATATATATATATGTATATGTATATATGTATGTGTGTATGTGTGTATGTATACATGTATATTTAGGGTACCTCAAACAAAGGAGCCCATAGTTAAGAGAACCATCTGGACCTTATTATCAAGACCTTCGTGGAGGACCCCCCCCCCCTCTTCTTCGATGCCCCCTGACTCCGCACGGAAAAATGCGGAACCTTCGAGAGCTTCCACGATGCCACCAACAAAAGGCTGCCAAAGCCCCCTAAACCCTAAACCCTATGTAAACCCTAAACCCAAACCCTTCTTTTGACAGAACGCTCCTTAGCCGTGTTTCTGCGCGACTTGCCCCCCCCAAGGCACTACATCAGTGCGATGTGCAGTGCAACGGCATGCACGTCATCAAAGGGCCCAATTTGGCTCAGGCATTTGCTCCAAAGCGTCGGCGTGTCAGCGTAGGGCGGATAGTTCATCTGGATACCACGCAGAAATGCAGGGGGAGAGATGATGCTTTCGTGGTGAAGGATGGTCCTTTCCCGCGCAATGCCACAGAGTGCCTGGCCTGCTTTGCGCCCATGTGCCCCCGCGCCTGTCATGGAATTGTGGGCCGGTCGCCACCTTGAACACCTCATCTCGGCCATGAAAGGCACGGATCTTTCACAAAGACCTCTATGTCAATCTGCCAGTCCCGGCACTGGCAGTTACATTGGTCGGATATCACCTCGACTTTGCCAGAATGGCGGATTCAAACCACTATATACCACCATCATCACCGCGGACGAGCCAGGGTTCAGGGTGTTTAGGGTGTTTATGGTGTTTTGGGTTTCGGATTTAGAGTCGACACGTCTAAACAAGTCTACATCTCACATGCCCCAAAACCCTTGAAACCGCAAACCTTGAACTGCTTCGTGAGGACTCTGCATGGTAGCCCCTAAGCCCCCCAAACCCTAAACCCTAAACCCTGAACCCCACAACCCCAAACTCTAAACCCTGAACCCTAAACCCTAAACCCCAAACCCTAAACCCCAAAACCAAAAACGCTGAGGATGCGGCGTGCGCATGCCGAGATCTCGGAGGTGCGACGTCGTTGCGAAACTTGGGTTGTGCACCAGCTGGCAGGCGGAGGAGGGTTTAGGGTCAAGGGTTTAGGGTTCAGGGTTTAGGGTTTAGGGTTTAGGGCTTAGGGTTTAGGGTTTAGGGTTTAGGGTTTAGGGTTTAGGGTTTAGGGTTTGGGTTTAGGGTTTAGGGTTTAGGGTTTAGGGTTTAGGGTTTAGGGTTTAGGGTTTAGGGTTTAGAGTTTAGGGTTTAGGGTTTAGGGTTTAGGGTTTAGGGTTTAGGACCCCTTCGGGCTTAGGGTTTAGGTTTAGGGTTCAGGGTTCAGGGTTCGTAGGGCTTTGGGTTTCAGGAGGAGCCGGAGCTTGCCGTTTGTTGGGCATAATTCTGGCTGTGGGGGCTTTCGACTTTTGGCTTTGGGTGCCATCTGTGTATACTACTTTAGAAGCAGGCTCTTTAGGGTTTAAGGCTTTAGGGTATAGGGTGTTTAGGGTACATATTTCTGGAATAGAGCCAAGAAATGTGTAGGTCATTAGAGATGCAGGTGGGGCTTAGCACGGAGAGTCCCCCCCCCCCCTCAAACCCAAAAACTCGCGCCCTAAACCCCAGTTTCAGGTTAGTAGCAGGGCGTAAGCGCCGAAACCCTGCAACCCTAAACCCTAAACTTACCCTAAACCCTAAACCCTAAAGCCTAAACCCTAAACTCTCGGGCGTACGTCAAAGTGGTGCGGAGTCATCTACCCGTGCAACAAAGACACGGCCCTCGATCCAAGAGTGACCTGGGAGTGCAAAATGGCACCCCTAAACCCTAAACCCTAAACCCTAAGCCCTAAACCCTAAACCCTAAACCCTAAGCCCTAAACCCTAAACCCTAAGCCCTAAACCCTAAACCCTAAACCCTAAACCCTAACAGTCATGGGACTCTACCTCGGAGCCCTATGGTTGCACCCCCCGGTGTGGAGACCCTTCTTTTAAGATCCTCTAAGGGATTATAAGGGCCACATTACATTTAGTGTGTAGTTTAGGGTTTAGAGAGTAGGGTTTAGGGCTTAGGGGTTAGGGTTTAGGGTTTAGGGTTTAGGGTTTAGGGCTTAGGGCTTAGGGTTTAGGGTTTAGGGTTTAGAGTGTAGGGTTTAGGGCTTGGGGGTTAGGGTTTAGGGTTTAGGGTTGAGAATTTGGGGTTGAGGGTTTACGGTTTAGGGTTCTATTAAGGGAACCTCTTAGGGGCTCATCCTTAGGGGCCCGAGTATGACTCCCTTGAAAAAGGGGCTTATATGCAAAAAGGGCTAACCCATGATACTTCTAAGGCATATCTGCGGACACTCTAGCGACCTGAGAAAATTCCCCAGACAAGGGTTTAGGGTTTAGGGTTTAGGGTTTAGGGTTTGGGGTTTGGGGTTTGGGGTTTAGGGTTTAGGGTTTAGGGTTTAGGGTTTAGGGTTTAGGGTTTAGGGTTTAGGGTTTAGGTCTAGGTTCAGGCCATGGTAGACAGGGCTTTGGGGGTCAGGGCCCTAGGCGCTCCATTGAACCGTTCTCCAAACTAAATGTCGCGTACTACTCATGGGTATTGTACAGGAACGAATGGGAGGAGTCTACGGTGCCTTCTAGATTCTGGCAGGGTCTTTAGGAGTGTTCTTCTGCCAGCTTAGGGTTTAGGGTTTAGGGTTTAGGGTTTAGGGTTTAGGGTTTAGGGTTTAGGGTTTAGGGTTTAGGGTTTAGGGTTTAGGGTTTAGGGTTTAGGGTTTAGGGCTTAGGGCTTAGGGCTTAGGGCTTAGGGCTTAGGGTTTAGGGTTTAGTCTTTGGGGTCGCAGTAGGGCTGGGGAGTGGAGTGCTGACTTCTTTCTTGCCTCGTCGCTTGCGCAGTCTGTTTTGCACATGGATTTCACCCCCTTGAAGGGCTTAGGGCCCTAAACCCTAAACCCTAAACCCTAAACCCGAAACCCTAAATCCTAAACCCTTTAGGGGCTTAGGGCCCTAAACCCGAAATCCCAACGGCCCCAACGCCCAACTTCTACCCTGACACCCTAGTAGCTCTAAAGCTCTAACTTAAACTCCCCCTTGAGGGGGGCGGGGGTTTAGGGTTTGGGGTTTGGGGTTTAGGGTCCGGGGTGTTTTGGGGGGCCTTTCTTATGGAACTTTGCAATCTGTTCCACATGGGCTTAGGGTTGAGGGTTTAGGAGTTTAAACTCTAAACCCTAAACCCTAAACCCTGGTTTAGGAGTTTAAACTCTAAACCCTAACCCGAAACCCTAAACCCTAAACCCTAAAAACCCTAAAAACCCTAAAAACCCTAAAAACCCTAAAAACCCTAAAAACCCTAAACCCTAAACCCTAAACCCTAAACCCTAAACCCTAAACCCTAAACCCTAAACCCTAAACCTCACCATGCTACCGGGCTGACTTGGCCCTTGTAGGTTCCTGGTGCGTATGAGGTCTCTCCTTGGGTTGAAAGAGCAGCTGAATCCTCCCTAAACCCTAAACCCTAAACCCTAAACCCTAAACCCTAAACCCTAAACCCTGAAGGGACTCAAGGAGGGACCCTTACAAGGGACCTTGGGGGTTATGTAGGGGTTCTTTAGGGGCTACTTAGGTATAAAGTGACTACATAAGGTAACCCCCCAGATGATCCGCAGCAATAAGGCCTTCTTTAGGGTTTAGGGTGTAGGGCTTGGGGTACCTTTGTGGGGTAGTATGCAATGATCCCTTCTAACGCAAAAAGATTCTACATTCAGAGCCTAAGTAGGGTTTACTGTAGGGCCTAGGGCCTAGCGCCTAGGGCCTAGGGTTTAGGGTTTAGGGCTTAGGTTTTAGGGTTTAGGGTTTAGGGTTTAGGGTTTAGGGTTTAGGGTTTAGGGTTTAGGGTTTAGGGTTTAGGGTTTAGGGTTTAGGGTTTAGGGTTTAGGGTTCAACTCTAAACCCCTGATGCCTTCACAACCCTCTGGGGCCAATGGGGGTCTGCGCATCGGTCGACGGATGGGTCGGCAAAATTTTCGCGGCAGCGTCCAAAAATACGGCGGGCGGGGTGTTTAGGGTTTAGGGTTTAGGGTTTAGGGTTTAGGGTTCAGGGTTCAGGGTTTAGGGTTTAGGGTTCAGGGTGTAGGGTTTAGGCTTAGCGTTTCGGCTAGGTAAAAACAAGAACGGTGGCCCGTGTCTGAAGTAAAGCTGCACATGTAGGCAAAAAGAAGGAAATAAGGGTACTACTGGGGTCCCAGATAGTCTCTTGGTCGATCAATATTATAGGCCATAGACCCTGAACCCTACCCAAAACGCTAAACCCTAAACCCGAACCCTAAAGCCTAAACCACAACCCTCCAGACTCCAAAGCCCTACAGGCTTAGGGTTTCGGGTGTAGACTTTATTGTGGCTCCCGCGCCCCGTATTTTCAGGAAGACCCATTGCTGTGACACGCCGTGGGTACTTGTAACCAGGGCTCGTGATTCGAGTCGAGAACAGGCGTCCCGCCCCCGGATTCATTCGGACGTAACGATTGGCAGGGTTCTAGGTTGGTCTTACCCAAACCCTAACCCCTAACTCCTAACCCCCAAACCCGAAACCCCCAATTAAACCCACGCCTAAACATAAACCCTAAGCCCTACACCCTAAACCTTAAATCCTAAACCCTGAACCCTAAATCTTGAACCCTAAACCCTAAACCCTAAACCCTAAACCCTAAACCTTAAACCCTAAACCCTAAACCGCAAACCCTAAACCGGGGCTCCGGGGATTTAGGTTTCGGGGTTGCCCCAAATTCTAAAACCCAAACCCTCTTCATGAGTAGGTCTAGCCCCATGAACCGGTAGGTTTAGGGCTTAGAGCTTAGGGCGTAGGGCTTAGGGTTCAGGGTTAAGGGTTAAGGGTTTAGGCTGTATGACCCCATGAATCTGTATGGCACAAGCGTTGCGAATGTCCGGGTTCAGAGGCTTCCGAGATTTCGGGCTTAGGGTTTAGGGTTTAGGGTTTGGGGTTTCGGGCTTAGGGTTTAGTACGGCTGGGTTCAGAGTACCCCGAATCTAGGGAGGAAGAGGACATCAAGGCAGAGACGTCTGCAGACTCGCGGACGCACGAGCCCCAAAATCTCGATTGGCCTGGCAGCTCTGAAGGGAACTTCTCTTCAGGGTCACGGAATCCCCCTGCTACTTCCAACCCTGTAAACCCTGTAAACCCTGTAAACCCTGTAAACCCTGTAAACCGTTTGAACCGTTTAAACCCTTTAAGCCCTTTAAGCCCGAAACTTTGATTGATCCCCAAACCCGACGCAACCCTAACATACTGAAAGTGGGCTACATCTACCCCAATAAGGTTCGGTTTATATAAGTACAGATATAAGTGGGTTACCAAGTACCATGAACCTCCAAGTACTGGGCCTCGGGCTTGCGGCTTTAAGGGCGAGTGGGCTACTTCCCCACAACTTGACGAGCTGATTGACTTGTGAATGCTTGCACAGATGCTTGCACCCCAAACCAAAGGCCTAAACCCAAACCCTAAACCCTAAACCCTAAACCCCAAACCCCAACCCTAAACCCTAAGACCTAAAACCTAAACCCTAAACCCTAAACCCTAAAACCTAAACCCTAAACCCTAAACCTTA